CGATGGATTTACTCAAGTTAGATTCATAGGCACATTCTATCAAGAAGTGCTCTTTCTAAGTTTGTACTTTTAATAAAAAAAGATTTGGGACTCTTTTATGATTTGAATTCATTCCTAGAAATATTTATGGCCACATTTGGAGAAAGTGATTGAGAACAAGTAGTAGAGACCAAATTCTTATCTTTATGACAAGAATCACAATCAGCTACCACATATATTGCTGAATTCCAAAACCTTGCTTAAGATGTGGAGTAGAATGATAAAGCACTCATCAATCAATTTTGATATGGATTAAAGAACAATGTCAAAGATTTTTTAATAGTAATGCCAAAAGTAGAATCTTTGGAACGATTTATTATTCAAGCCATTACATGCGACAATCGATTATTTGAAAGGCGTCAAGAACAAAGACTTAGTTGGAGAAGAACAAGTGAAGTATTGGTGGCAACTTCCAAGTTTTTTGAAACATATTCTTCAAGGCCGGAACCAATGCAAATTAATATGATATATTTTAAAACTCTCATAGAGTAGAAATAGACTCGATGTTGCCAAGAGGATTTGTATTTATATTAAGGAAAATCTAAGTACATTGCTCAATATTATTCAAAGAAGCAACACAATTACAAAATGAGGAGCATAATTCCAAAGAAGATAATATGTCAGAAAATAATTTTCTCTAGCTATAATAGGAACCATGCGGTCGGAATTGTGTGCAATACCTAGTAAAGGTTCTATTCTCTCCTCACATCCCTCACCTTGTTTTATAATAGATGTGTATTTAGGATCTAAAAATCACAAAGTCTTTGCTTTATTAGATTGAAGAGGCTCAACCTATTCTATAGATGAAGATTTTGTCAAAAATCAAAAAATATCTTTAGTCAAGAAAACTAAATCCGTACATGTAGAAGTCATAGATGGTTGTTTGTTGTCTTTTGAAAATATTACCCATGAGACTATTTGTTTAGATGTAAAAATTAAGGATCATAATAACATAGTAGTATTTAATGTAATAAAATCTTCCTCCAATCCGGTAATTTTAGGATTATTGTCGCTAGAAAAATATAACCTTCAAATAGATTAGATTTCTCGTAACCTTAACTTTTCTTGTAGTATAATCCAAGTTCGAGTTATCGAAGTAGAAATACAAAATTCTAGTACTTCCAAACTTTTACTAATAGGTGAAAGAGCTTTCATACATACTGCAAAAGAATGATCTTTTGTTATATATGCTATGCCTATTTCTAATGGTGAAAAAATGTCAAGTGGTATTCTTAGCCAATATGAAGAATTCTAAGATGTTTTTGAAAAAAAGAATATAAATATTCTTCTAGAGCATCGACCTTATGATTTTTCAATTGATTTGTAAGAAGGATCTCAACCACCATTTAGACCAATCTATAACTTATCAAAGAATGAGTTGGTTACATTAAATGAATACATTCATGAAAATTTGACAAAGAACTTCATATGTCATTCTAAATCTCCAGTCGGAGCTCCTATCTTATTTGTGAAGAAGAAAGATGGATCTTTGTAGATGTGTATGGATTATCGAGGACTTAATAAGATCACCATCAATAATAGGTATTATTTTTCTTTGATTTTAGAACTTCTTGACCAACTCAATCAAACAAAGATCTATACCAAAAAAGATCTACGAGGAACATACAACTTAATTCGTATCAAAAAAAGAGATGAATGGAAGACTGCTTTTCACACTAGGTATGGACATTTTGAATATAATGTCATGACTTTTGGACTTACAAATGCACTAGCTACTTTTCAACATCTTGTAAATGATGTTTTTTGTGAGTTTCTAGATGATTTTGTCATTTTTTTTATTTAGATGACATTTTAATCTATTCTAAAAACTCAAAATATGAACTTCATATTCATTGTGTGTTATAGAAACTAAGAGATGTAGGATTATATGCCAAGTTAGAAAAGTGTGTATTCCACACTACTCAAGTTGACTTTTTAGAATATATCATTTCCAACAAAGGTCTTATGATGGATTATTTCCAAGAAGGTCCAAACTATTATAGATTGGAAGATTTCAAAAATAATATGAGATGTGCAATATTTTTTAGACTTTGCTAATTACTATTGAATCTTCATTAAGAATTTTTATCAAGTTATAGCTCCACTTACATGTTTGACTTGTAAAGACAAACTTGAGTAGAATAAAGAAAAAAAAGCATCATTTGATGCTTTAAAGAAGGAATTTACTTCTCGACCAATCTTACACTACGTCAACTTTTTCAAGGCATTTTTTGTAGAAATAAATGTATCAGACTTTGCTATGGGTGCTGTATTGTTATAAATCCAATCACTATGTATACAGATCATAAGAACCTCAAGTGCTTCATGTCAAAACATATTTTGAATTGTCGTCAAGCTCGTTGGAACATGTTTTTATCTAGATTCAATTTCAAGATCACTCATCGACTTGGAAAATAATAAGATCTATCAAATGTCCTTTCTAGACATTCTTATCTTGCACTAAAAAAAAGAGATGCATCTTTTGATCAATAATGAACAATCTTCTTGAAGCTCGAGAATTTTTATTTTTGAACAATAAAATCAACATTGACTATTGATTCAAGCTTTGTCAAGTAAATTCAATCAAATATGTTCTCTAATGCTCTTGTTCATGATATCAAGAATACTTCTACTAAGTCCTATGATACTTCAAAGTTTGAGTTCAAGAACAATCTACTATACTTCAAAAATCGTCTATATATTCTAGAAGGCAAGGCACGATTACATGTCCTTTAAGTTTGTTATGATTTTTTAATAGCCAAACATTTTAGATGCAATAAAACTTTGGAGCTTATATCAAGAGATTTTTGGTGGCTTCAAATGTAGAAGGAAGTCAAAGACTTTGTACAATCATGCGATACTTGTTCAAGATTTAAAATTCTTCGCCATTGATCTTATGGACTACTTCAATCATTGCCTATTCCAAAACAACCATGGTGTTCTGTTTTTATGAATTTTATCATGGAACTTCTCATCTCAAGTTTATATGATTCTACATTTGTAATCGTAGATCGCTTTACCAAAATGATACATTTTATACTATTTACAAAATCTATTTCAAGTGAAAAAACAACTAAGCTTTTTATTGACAATATCTATTGCTATCATGGATTGCCAAAGGATATTATATCAAATAAAGGGACTCAATTTGTATCAAGATTTTGAAAAACCTTATTCAAGATTTTAAAGGTGGATATAAAGCTTTCTTTGACTTTTCATCCTCAAACTGATGGTCAAATGGAACAAGTAAATCAAATTTTGGAACAATATTTGAGGTATATTATCAACTATCATCAAAATGATTAGACAACTCTTTTGCCATTAGCAGAGTTTGCATACAATAATTCAATACATTCTAGTCAATAAACATCTTTCTTTGCTAATTATGGTTATCATCCACGACTTGATACTGTTGACTTTTCAAAAGTTGATAATCCTATAGTGGAAGATTTAGCAAATCATTTGTCAAAGCTACATGCAACAATGAAGATACAATTAAAAGAAGCTCAAGGAAGGTAGAAGACCAAAATGGATGCTTATTGCAAGGAGTAATATTTAGAACTTTCAACTAATATATATTGATTTTAGTTATTTGAGAGATATGTATAAGATACATTAAATAAGATGATTAATGGCTAGTATATCCAAAGACATATTCATCTTTACTCATAATGCTACCAACCAAATCCTAGAGAATATACTAAACATCTACTAGACATAAAATATAAGACTATAAGACTCTAAAACAAGCTCTAATAAATATCTTTTTCAATATCCATGATCTCATAATAAAAAACCAAATTACTATCTCATCCCATGGCCAAATAAATCTTACTTCAATTGTTTCAATGTATACTCACAAATTTTATATATGCAACATACACCTTCTTTGATTTACTACTTATTAAACAATATGCATCCAAATTGAGCCCAACAAATGGATAAAGAAAAGACATAAGAGCATCGAATAGACAGTTTGTGAAAGCATATCCAATTCTAAAAAACAAGATTGATACCAATTTATTAAGCACAACATGTTATAAAGGCATGTAAGAAGATAGAGAGTTAATATAACTCTTCAAATGCCATTATCTTATAATAACGTAGAGAGACAACTTATAGAAGAAAAAACAATAGAGAATCATTAGGAAGAGACAAAAAATGGTCTTCATCTTTCAAAAGAACCATACATCAATTCAACAACTTAATCAAGGCAAGAAAATCGTCTTATTAGATTAGGAATCTTAAACAATATCATTTATATGATGAAAGAGTTTGTTTCAAGAAAGTACAAGGTTTTTGGTTGCAATTAGATATGATCAAACTCTACCTTTCACTCAAACAAATTCCACCACTTCATATATACATGGTAGCTCTTGATCGTATATAGTAGTTGATACCCCTTTTTCACTTAAATAGATACCATAGCTCTTTACTTCATTAGATTTGAGCACATAATGGCTCTTTGGAGAGCTATTTAGTCCTAATATATACACACAAAATCCCACCTCCTAAAATTCTTTATAATATACTTTTTGATCAAACAAATCTATAGATCATATTAACACAAAGTAACTAGTTCATCTTTATTATAAAAAGAAAGCACCACAACTTCATACTATCTCTTCTCTAAGCAAATGAGAGTTTTTTGGAAATCTTATAAAGAAAGGAACAATTCCTCAAAATCTCAAATCCAAATTCAAACTATATTTTGAAAAAACCTCCAAAAAAAGCTCTAAAGAGTGAATGGTTTTTTTTTTTTATCCAAAAAAACACTATTGGTTCATACTAACTCTTTTTGGAGTAAGTGGTAGCTTTCTAGAAAGCTTGCAGAAAGAGAAAAAACTCTTCAGAATCACAAATCCAAATTCGAAATTTACTTTGAGAAAATCTCCAAAGAAAAACCTTGAAGAGTGACTAGCTCTCTCTTTATGCAAAAAGGCACTACTGATTCATACGAACTCTTCTTAGAGCAAGTGAGAGCTTTCTGGAAAGCTTATAAAGAGAGGAATAACTCTTCAAAATCTCAAACCTAAAGGCATGCACCCTTCTAGTTGAGGGAGAGAAGTACCGAACTGGCAGGCATCCACACATCAGAGTGCCCGTCTTGTAAAGTCCGCCATGTTTCCTGCGACGTGAGGATTTGCAGACGAATCGATTCCTCGACAGTGCTGTTGTCTGCAAGCTACCTCGCGCATGCAGGTTGGCCTGTTTCTGCATCTGGGTTTGGCGCCGTTTGTGCAGCGGTGGTTTGAAATCTGCGGGGGTTTGGACAAATGAGCTTGCTCGGCAGGCTGCCCAGCAACTGCGACCAAGTTTTAGGGTATGCAATGGTGATGAGAATTCGAGCTTTAGCGATCGGCGGCTTGGTCGAGAGTGGTCGTAGAGTGAAGGGTTGAAGCCGTGGTTTTGTGTTTCGTGTTGGGTACAGGTTTTGGAGAGGTTGTCACGATGAGCATGCTGAGTATGGGAAGCGCGGGGCATGGGGAGCTCCAGTCAATGTGGGGTCCTGCAAGGTCGCAGCAGCAACAGCATGACCAAGCTGTTCCTATGGATACTGCTGCTACGGCGCGCCCTGCTGTTGTGCGAAGTGCTCTTATGAACCAGCCTCCGCAGCGGCGAGCGCACATGCTTCTCCAGGAAATGGCGGGCTTAGCCAACCGACTCGTCGAGCTTGCCGGTAAGGTTAGCCCTCGGTTAGCTATTGTTTTATTATTTTGTAATTTGAATTTTTACCTTTTTTCTTGAATTGAATTTTTTTCTTGAAATGACGGGACGTAGTGTACACATGGGTGTGTTTCCTGGGGTTGAGCGATAATAAGAAAAATTCTCCGTGAAGCAATGAAACAACGAAGTCGTCAAGAAATACCGACAATTGGGCGGAGGTTGAATGATTCGTGACAGCGAACTTGACGATATGTTGCATGTACAATTTTTTTGGTTCTTTTTGTTCTACTGTCACCAAGTTGGGCTCTTGGATTGATTTTTATAAGTGGTTTCAGCAACGAAAAGTTGGCAACCTGGACATATGAAGGTGTCGATTCCACCTTTTTTGGCTGGTGCAATTCTTCCTCCTGAAGGTCAAGCTGCAGTCACATCTAAAGAGGTTCAGGCACTGTTGGAAAACCACCAGAACCTCCTGTACGAAGCTGTTTCAGAGCTGCAAGAGCTCCAGGACATAGAACAAGAGAAGCAGCAAATCGCCGAGGAAATCAACACCAAGGATGTTGTGGTCAGAGCTTTTGCCAAGCGAGTCCGGGATGCGCATCAGGTGTTAGAGGACGCATTGGAGGAGTACGCCGACTTGAAGAAAGGAAAACACAGAAAATCTGTTCCAGTTGCAGAGTTGGTCTCATACGCACATCGCATCAGCTACACCACATTTGCTCCACCTGATTATGGAGCCGGAGAGACTATACTGCGTGGAGCCTTACCCCCAGCCCCACAAGAGGAGAATATGAGAGCATCACAACTTTATCATGTGCAAGTGTCCGATCTAGGGTTCACAAGTGCTTTTGCACCACCCCCTGCGCCTGAAGCTCTGGAGGAAGCTGAACCACCCAAGGCGGAGCCAATAATGCCTGCAGGTTGGCGGCCAGGGATGCCTGTACAGCTCCCTCCGATGGCAGAGCTACCACCAATGCCAGCAGGTTGGAAGATTGGAGATCCCATTCCTCTGCCACCGTTGCCTGGTATGCCCATGGAGGGTCTACCTCCCAGGGTGCCAGTTCCAGTTACTATGGTTGTTCCACATGTTAATCTCGATCTTAATCCAGAACTTGAAGACGATCTTAGTAGTGATTACGGCTCCGCCAGCGAATCTGATGAAGACGAAGATTGAAGGATCGGGTCTGGTTGAGAATATTCATACAGTATGGTCGCTTATGTATTATGGCTTTTGCACAGAAGACCCAGTCTGCAGTCGGGTAATTAACATAGTTTTTGTACAAACAGCATACTATATTTTGGACATTTTTTCAGTCATAACTTGTATTGGCTTCACATTTTGATTTTGTCTTTGTGCCCTTCCTCACTTGAACTGTTTCCTGAAGAAAGCAAGAGAGAGATGAGAATGAGCAGAGTAAGATAAAACAGATTATTCTTAAGTATTCAATTCAAATTGTTTGCTTTTTAGTATGCAGTGCTTCTTTACTTTGTTCAAGAACAGATTTTTTTTTGTCGTGAAATAAAAGTTCACGGATCCAAACCACCTATCGGCTGCTTTCTGTTTGTGCCCTGCCTGATATATATGAAAGTGATTGGTGTCAAAGCGTGAAGCTTGAAGTGGAAGCGAGAGTGTGAAGTGCCTTCTCAGCTCAATTGGTTAGGATGATGATTTAGGTAGGAATGCAATGAGGATTAGAAGTAGAGATTGGTAGAGTTTAAACAAGTTAGAGATTGTTTCGTTTGGGAATTGGAATCAAGGTTGACTTGATTGGGTGCCATATTGTGGAGATGGATGTAAGGAATGTTTATCATGAATCTTTTAGAGCATGACCACAATAAATTATTAATATATATATATATATATATATATATATATGTGTGTTATTTATTTAATATTTATTATTAATATTTACATGTCTTGTTTTTATCAATTATTTATTTATTTATTTATTTATTTATTTATTTATTTATTTATTTTATAATGCACAAGTCGGCATTTTGTTTCTAATTGCTAAAGAGTGAAGAGGACACAATTTTTAAATTCTTTGATTGGCTGAAATTGAGAAGCTTTACTTGCTTGAATTACTTACTAGGAAAAATTATTCTAAAAACTCTTAGAGGAAATAATGAGAAAAAATGTACATTTGTTTTTAGAATTTGTTGTTGTCCTACTTTAAGAACTGATTTTTACAAACATTCAAGGAACTTTGGAAAATAGTATAAAATTTAATCATTAAAATAAAAAAATAAAATTCTTTAAATTTGTTTTGATTGTTAGAAACAAGATATGTGTTGGCATAACTAGACTTATTATTAAAAGAATAATAATAATAATAATAATAATAACAATAAAACGTTGATGCATATAATGACATACTTGACTTCATATTATTTCTAGAGGCAATGGTTTCTAAAAGAAAGTTTTGCTTTACTAAGCAAAAGATCTTTTTAAAGCTTTAGTAGTATAGTCCTTTAAAATGAGTGTATTTATATGGAAACTTTCTCAATCACAATTGTATACAACAATCAGTCAATAAAAATTATAACTTAAACTTCATCTATTCAGATTTAATCTATTAGAATCACAAAATTAATCTTACTTGCATTACTTTTTATCAATTGCACCAAGTCTATTGGTGGTATATATTGCAACTAAGATAGCACTTAATATGCCAATTTCTAATACAAAACTAAATAATTAAATTAATACTATATATATTAATAAAATAAAAAATAGTAAGATAAATAGATATTATCATTATAATAGGAATAATAATTTTTTATTTTATTTTTGGATCAAATACATTTATGATAGATTTATTACTAGCATTTATCTATCATAAAAGTATTTAGGTGAAATTAGAAAATAATTCTCTAGAAGTAATATAAAGTGTTAAATATTATAAATATCACCAAATAATTACACACTTATAAAAACATCTTATCCAGTTACAAATCAAGATTTTTTTTGGTTTGTAACATATTATTCTTTTATATGTTTTTAAATAAAAATGTTAAAATAATATTAAATGTGATTTAAAAGAGTGGAATAAAACTATAAACTCTTTTTACAAATGTCCAAATGAAGTTTTAATATTTATTTATTACACTTAACAATCTTCTATCTTACTCAAATTTCTACAATGCATTTTGTTTTTATGAATCTAATGTGTATAAATATAAATACATTTCCATTGGTTGTAAAAATTACATGTATTTGTAAATTGATTGTTATGTTCTTAAATAATAACACCATAAAATATAGTTAATTTAGAGTTTTTATCAACTAACTATTTTTATAGTAATTTATTATATTTAAAAGATCATATTATATTAAAAAGTAAATAAAAAGTAAGTAAATAAATTCACTAAAGCATTGAAAGCATTTGTATTAGTCAATTTATTTATTTTTAATGATTTTTATACTTCAATTTTTAAAATATTATTTTTTTAGAAAAAATTATAGTATATTCTTTGAGTTGGATAAATTTTGAGTTTTTTGATAAATATATAAAAATTTACCAAAAAAAAAAAAAAAAAAAAAAAAAAAAAAAAAAAACAATAACATTGATAAATTCTAATTTTATCTTTTTTTAAAAAAATCTTCATTACTATGAAAGTATATTAAGTTTATTAATTAGATAAATATATATCATGTTCCTAGTGAATTCAAATTTGAAAACATACAACCAACTTTATGATAGATAAATGTTAGTAATAAATCAACCTCTTGCAAATTATTAACACATTTCTAACACAAATTTCTTATTATATAAATTATTAGAAGTATAATAAAATTCAATGAATATAAAAATTATTTCAAATTTGCACTATATTTTATGAATGTAGAAAAAATAGACCAAAATACCTTTAAATAGGTTTGCAATGGTCTTAAATTATCTAAGAATAATGAGTTGATACCAATAAGTTGGTATTTCAAATTCCAATTGCAAAATATCCATCTCTTCACAAAAAAATCTAGCAATGAGATGATGACTTTTTGATGTTCTAAAATAAAAATAAAAATAAAAAAATAAATAAAACAATTTTAAATAATAATGTCATTTAAACTACTAGTTTTATAAAATACCTATAAAAGAACTGTAAATCTAAAATTTACATATATTGAGACCTATTCTATTGTGTCACAATATATCATGTAAGTCTTTGTCTACTACAAATTCTAAAAAATAATAAAGTTCCCTTGTCATGCCTTGCAGCAACTTGTGTTTTGCTTTATCAAAGAGAAGCCATGTCTCAACCACAACACCTTAAGATATCTTTTCTTTATCAAACTAAAAACAGGAAAACTTAAATCAAGCCATTCTTGCTTTTGACTGCTATACATGTCATGCACAGTTATGTCAAATCGTACACAACACTATTTTAGCATTTTCTTAAAACACCAAATCTAGATGTCATCTTTACAGCACATCCATCAATATCATCACCATGGTAACCATATTGAGGAGAACTAAGAAAGCTATTCACACTTCCACGTCACAGTGTTGATATCAATGGCTTTGGAATTGCAAGCAAGATACCGATTGAGGGCACGCTCCCAGTTACCTTTTACTTCACAAAAGAATTTATATCCTTGTCAGAGCGAGAACTACACTGCAGAAAAGTAATTTGGGTAATAACACTTATACTGCTTTGCTCATCTATCTCTTGGTTTGTGGCAGTTCTTGAACGTGTAGAAACAGAATGACAAAATCATAGTATAAAGCCAAACCAAGGTCTTAATGAAAAAGTGGCTTAAAAAGGATGATTTTGATAACACAACATCCGCAGTTTCAAATGTAGCACTATTGACCTCCGCACAGATGAAATAATACACATCTTGCTGGTATGATATTCACATTCATACAAACCATTGCAAAGAATGAAAGAAAGAATACTAGCTAGTTTTACGAAACAACTCAATTCATTGCAGAGACTTCATCTGAAATAAGTGCAAGGTGCGATGTGTGCATAGTTCAAAGCGTCATCAAGCTTACTTACAGAGACGATCACTGCATTCTAAAATAAAATGATTTCGACCGTCTGTGATCTAATCAATTCAACAAGTGATTTTACAACTGGAATGTGAACTGAAATTAAATGACATATACTATTATACGCAAGGCATATATATTCAAGAACACGAAAAACTTATCCCAACATACTAACAATAAGTCTGGCATCAGCAATGACCATTACGTTTACAACACCTGATGAATGCCTCCGAAACGCATCGATGTGCAGTGGTAGGCTTCCAAGAACAATCGTAACCAGGGTTTCCCACAACAAGCTTATCTTAGCACAACAGTTGAAGGCTGCGCAGCGGAGAATATTCCTTCCAGCAATCAAGTCCCAAGGATGGCGAACATAAGAAAGGGGAGAAAACGAAAAAAAAAAAGGTAAAAAAAGAAGATGAAAGCATGAAATGTGTATCAAGATTGCTGTACAGTCACTATCAAGTCAGGCTATCTTGCATACTCAAGCCACAATAAGTGGACACAAGAATAGACCTTGTTCTCTATCTACATGGATCCTCATAGTTTCAATCAAAACATCGATACACTCTCGCCTGCTCCTCCATGGTTCCCTAGCCCCTTCCTCAGTTAACGACCCCTTCGCAACAGCGTCCCCTAAGGCGTGCTCATTCTACTCTCCAGCTCAAACAGCTCTTCATCCTCGTGATCGCTCTCATATTCACCATCTGCAATATCATATTGAATAAAGAAGGGATGAAAGGTGGTATCGATTATTGACAAAAGCTTAGAGTCGAACATTCAAAGGTAAACATCACTACAGTAATCAATTGATGCTATACTGAAGATGATTCCATAAGTTACAGAGTTTGTGTTTTAAAAGCGTACACATACCACTTTCAGGTGGACGTGCCATGTAGTCTATGCCAGGCTGGAATTGGAGAGACACAAGCTCCATGGAAAAGTTCTCTAGTTTGACCATTAGCCAGTCTCGTTCCATGGCTATCTTCTTAGCCTGTCGTCACCACGACCTCACTTGTAAATACCAGGAGATAATGTAGTAAAACATCAGCGTTCGATTCAAGAGATAGGTGATGAGCTCGAAGGAAATATGCAATTCATAGGGGAGTATCGATGCAAATTTCTTCTTTGAAAAAGGCTGTTGTACAAGTAGGAAACAGCCATACGAATTGATCATTAAATATTATGATCGTTATTGATCAATTCTGCCGTTGAAAGAAAACCGAAATTCCAGATAACGTCATAGGCTTGAAACAGTCTGGTCAGTTTCAGCAGCTAGAAAATTTCAGAAGGTATTCCGATTAACTGTGACCACGAGTCAAGAACAGAAAACATTCCTTCTCCTTATCTTAAATCCCTTCCTCAAATCATAAAAAAATCACAGGGACTTGGAAGAGCATGTACAGATAACCACTTGTGTTGACGGACGATCTGCTATCTAACGATTAAGGAGATTTATCGGCCAGGAGTTTGGATTCATGGATGAATCAAGTAAAACGCCCTAACTCAAGAAATCTTTTGAGTGCAACGTATAAATGTTTTTCATCAATGAGGATGTTATCACTCCTTTTCGCACTAGTCGCGGATTACAATAGGTTTGGTCAGTATTCAAAGGCTCCAATCATTTTCATGACCACCTTCAAAATTTTCCAGTTCAATACTGTGGGAGAGAAAGTGAGGAAATATTCAAAGACTTCAGTGAACCTACTTCAGCATGATGATATTGATGATAATCTAATTCTAGTTATTTTGTTAGCCAGCGCAGCGACGACGGGGAAAATCCCAAGACGGATTATCACGAAGCATAATTTTCAAAAAATGTCTGCAAAGGAGGAGGGGACGAAGCGTAAGAAATCACCTCCAATTCGACACCACTCGAGGGAGCCGGGATCATTTCGTTTTCCAGTATCGCAGACCCGAAGGCGTAATGCAAGAATCTGCTGGCCTGCCTGAGTGCACTATCATTTGTCTCTCCCTGGCCCAGGAACTGAGGGCAATCCAGCACAATCGCAAAAAAACTCTTGTATTCGTTCACATTGTCTTCTTCAGACGCCACCAGCACTGCATACTCGCGATGCTCTGCGTTCATGGCCGCCAATGACGCAGCCAAATCCCTGTTTACAGTACCCGCTCCGGACCCCTCCGCATGCACGAACACCAACCCCACATCCCCACCACGGCCAGCCTCCACCTCGCTACTCCCATGACTCGCCACAACTTGGCCACTCAAACTATTGAAAACGTTGCTCTGCGCGCTGTCCGCTGGCGTAGATGTTGTCGTGGTCGCCGAGGTCGTCTGCTTCTCATCGCCGCACTTGCTCACATGGTGATCGTGCTCCTCGTCCTCCCACGTCCAATAGGGCTTGAATTCCAAACCCATACTGCCAATCGCTCTCCTCACCTCAACCCCACCACTTCCTTCCCCTCTCCAAACCAGCACACTTCTAAAACCTTGCAAATCTTCACACGCTAAAAGAGCATCAACTCCCACCTTCACAACTCTCCCAATACGACCATTTCAATCTTAGTCCACAACCCAACACCTCCCCGAACCTCCACTTGCCCTCTCCCTCACAAACCACAAACACCCTCAAAAACCTTCTTACCCTTACCTTGTCCCCGAACAAACTCTCTCTCCCTCATACCACCACCACCACCATCACCACAACAATAACATCATCATCATCACCCACCCCGCCTTCTCAACAAGTGCTACTGCCCAACTCTAACCCAGGAAGCATGGCATACGCAGACTGGGGGGGGGAGGGAGGGGGGGGGGCAACAAGCTTCTTCAGTTCCAGCGACGACCGCACCCACAGTAACGGACTTCACCGCAGCTTCTTCTCTCCTCGTCCCTGGTCCTTGGTCCCTCGTCGCTCTCACTCTCTCTGTCGCTCCCCGTGATGGCGCTGTTGGTGACGACGAGGCTGAGCCATGAATGCACTGAACCCAACTGGTAATCAGCCTCCTCGTTACTGATGGCTACCACCCCGAGCTCTTTTGTCTCCCTCCTTCCCTCCCTCCTCCACCTTTCTACTACTTTATATTCATAAATGAATGTGTGTATATACACACACACTCTCACACACACACACTCACAAAGTGGCATGATAAAGTGAGAGGCTGTGGGGCTGGCTTAAGATGTGCGTCGAGATTCAATGCAGGCTGCTTGTGGCTTAAGTCACTCCTTCCACCACCACATTGGTGAAGATGCGAGCACGCGGGGGGGGGGGGGGCATAAAGAATATATTGCAAAATTCTGAATGGCGACGTTGGTCAGCGATTTCGTTAGTTGCAGTTTCCATTCGGTGCAGACACGAGAGAGAGTCATCGTCTGTTTCCCCCTTGCCGTGCCTTTCTGCACTAACTTTAGCACCCTTCTTCAAACCACTACACTAGATATATATATATAAATATATATATATATATATATAGTGTGTGTGTGTGTGTGTGTGTGTGCGTGTGTGGTATACTGTTTTACAAATTCAACGAGTTCTGAATTTCTACTCTGTGACCTAATCCACTCTGTGGCTGATGGGGCGATCTCTCCTGAAATGGCACGCCAGCTACCGGATTTGAACCCGAGACCGGTTGGGATGAAGATCGTTTTCTCAATTGTGTTTAATTCACTCGTTAAATTGTTGTAGATATGATTGAATCCTACTTTCAGAGACTTTGTATATGGTATCACCCTATTAAACACATGAGCGTCTGCAAGTAGATGCTGATATTCAATGTGTAATATGTGTTCAATTTGTTTTCAATATTTTTTTAATATTAGGCACTACAGGATTTATGTGAATCAAATTGAAGTTGAAGGTAAAAATAGTCTGCCATTGGCCAGAGTTTTTTGGGGGGTTACCATGTGGAGTTTATATTATGGGTGTGTTTTTATTTTTGGAGGTCTTCTGTATTCGTTTTTTTTTTTCAAGGTAATGCATCATAATATTTGTGCTATTATAGTGTATTTAATTTCATAAGTACTTAAATAAAATTGGCTATGTTTTGATGTTCTTACTGAAGCAAATGATCAATTCTGAAGATGTCATGGTATAAAAATGTAGCCCAGATCTTTTATAACTCGTGATTTTATTTATTTATTTATTTTTAATCCTTAACAAAATTAAAATCAACCGTGAACATGTTCGGTTTTGACAACATTCGTGGTTAGAAAATACTTATGCCACTGAGATGAATTTTATTGAATAACAAGTTACAAGCTATTGTGTTGTGAAACATAAGTCTTGAACACAACACTGTTTTATTTCTTGTAGTACTGATTTCCTTATTCTGTTTTATTTTTTTTATGATTCAGAAAAAATGTCTTTCATGTTAACATGATTTATATATTTCATTTTTCTTGAGCATTGTATCATACAATTTAAAATAATTAAAATATTTTTTATGTGAATAAATAAATAGGCTATTACTTTCATATGAGATAAAATGCTCTTATATGTTTTATAGATTATAAAAATAAAACAAAATGACTACATTACCTTTTTCAATTTTTGTGTTTTCTATCTTTCTTCCCTTCTCTATATACAGATGTATGTGCATGTATGTGTGGATATCATTCTTATTATTAATACTTACAAGCATTTCACCAATTTGTACATATTTCTATGGTTTATCTAGTTGTGGGTGTGGGTGTGTGTGTGTATATTTATGCACACTTATTAATCAAACATTGTGTTTCTGAAAGTAATTTTTTGTTGAAGTTTTCAACAAATTGTCATATGTTCTAATCACCAAATCAAACAATTCAATGAACTATTACCAAATCCTTGAAGAAATAAACAAAAAAAAAAACCAACATACACATTTTTGGAGTTTTTGTCATTAGATTATAATCATGGCATTGAAGACGTTACCAAAAAATACAGGTGTTAAAAAAATACATTTTGTGATTTATAATGTTTTAAATGTTATTTTTTAAACATATATTAGAGTCTTTCTAATACTTTTCCTTTTCTTTCTTTTCCTTTTTATTTATTATTATTATTTTTTCATAATCGAGAAAATCAATTATGATTCAAACTTTCAAATATCATACAAGTTAGGATAATTGGGGCTTCTCAGAACAATAGAAAAAACAACCTTTAGTAATTAAAAAAATAAAAACAAAAACAATGTGGATTTGCATTTAGATGACTTAAAAATGTTGCATCATGTAAAAAATAATTAAAAATAAATAAGAACTTGAAAACTTAATGCATTAGCAAATATGTCAAAAGGTATCAATTTAAAATTTTCACACTTAAAGTATATATATATATATATATATATATATTTGAATACATATTCTTATGCCTTATGCCATAAGTTTTTGCTAGTTATTACTTATTTATGTATTCACATAAAACTTTGGAAACTTAATAGTTAATTGAGTGGATTGAGAACACACATGCTATGCAATCAAAACTAATTTTGAATCTTTTCATTATTTAAACCTCAAAAATTTATTGAAAATTATTTTGTTACCGCCACTAAATAGGTTCTTTAAAAAATCAAAAATTTGTATAAAATCTCCGGTAGTGTATAGGCTAGAAAAAGAGTCCCCATATCATATGCACCCTCATACCACATTGTCATCATTTTCCACATTTTTTCCCCCATGTAATAATTCCAAAAAATCAAATAAACAAATGCATCAAGGTTTTGATTAATTTTCTTTCTCTAACTCAAACACTTTCCATCGTCACATCATAGCTCCCCAACTAAGTAATTAGCAAAAAATACCATTATTCAAGTATGGGCTAATCTTAAAATGGAGATGAAGGAATCTAAAATAAGGCAATCCACGCATCCTTCAAAAAAAATCAAAAGCGCCTGAAAAATCTTCGAGTTGTCAGTAAATCTTCTGACGAGCTGTGAAATCTACATTCATGGGCATGAAATCTACGAGTTGGGCCACGGGAGGCATCCCCTACTTCTCCGCCTGCCTCGATGCGGCAGACGCATCTCTCTCACGCCCCACTCGCCTCATCGGACACTGCGTTGTATTTTGTTTTGCTTCGTCGATCTGGGTCCCCGTGTTGCGGTTGTTGGTGTGACTTTTTCCCCGTTTTTCTGTGTCTGGTTAGGATCACAACGATGGGTTTGGATGAGGACTTCGAGCAGGCTGCCAAGGACGCCAAGGCGCTGACAGCGATGCCCTCCAACGACGACCTGCTCATTCTTTACGGCTTGTTCAAAGTGGCTACTGTAGGGAAGAACAACACCGTCCGCCCGGGCATGCTGGACCTCAAGGGCAAGGCCAAGTGGGATGCGTGGAAGAAGGTGGAGGACAAGTCGCCAGAAGACGCCAAGCGGGACTATATCCTCAAGGTGCAGCAGCTCCAGGAAGCTTGAAGCGCCTCTTGGGAAGTCCACACCCGCCTTGAGGGTTTGTGCGACGCATGTCCATGTGCTGTCCGTAATGCGATGATCGCCGTCGTCGCATGGATTATGATCATGTCGGCGACAGAATGTGTGAGGTTTGGTGTAGGACTGTAGTTGCAGGATTATTGGCATGGGCAGTTCAATGGTGTAACCCATTGTGTTGGATCTTGGAGAATTGTTCATGCTCCCAGCCATCTTGTGACTGGAGTTGGTGTTTTAATTCTACACGACTTGTGAGGGAACCCCCCATTCCAAGAGATGTGTGTTTGTTGGCGTGGTGGGTGCTAAGGGTGTGCTCTGTTCTCTGTTGTTTTTTGAGCTTTGGTGGCATGGATCCATGTAAATGTATGTGTTTATAACGCTGGTGATGCTTGCGTTTTGTTCACTTGATCTGGGTGTTGCATACTTTAGATTTTTCTCGTGAATGAGCAACTAAGTTTTGGAAGTAGGAACGGAAGTGCTTGTGAAAAGAGCTTCTCCTCACTTTCGTTTGAAAGGTAGACTTCGAAATATCCGGTGTCTGTGAGGTTTTTCTCAGAATGTGTGAGACAGATCTGCCACGGCCAATGTAGCTTACACAAGACACTGGCATGCCACACAGTCTACAACGATCAATCGAGATCTTCCAGATATTTGTGGATGACAACATTGCAGCTTCCCACATCTTAATAGCAGAGTATCCTTTGCGGTAGGATATTCTGTCTGTGTTGACTGGTGTATCCGTTCTGTTTTAATTCAATCACCAGAGTCTCTGTTGAAGCCGTAAGTTCCAAGTTGGGGTTGCAGAAATCGATACTTCCCAGCGTTGCAGTTGTTGGCAAAAGTCGTGACGGTGACTTTTGTTCTCATGGAAGTATTACCCAAGAACGGAATGTTCATGTTTTGGGGATGCAACTCGCGGATGATTAGACTGTTTGTCGCTGTACATCTGTGTGCTTACAAGAGAAGAGACTATATCCTCCAGAAAAACACACATCGTCTGAAAATCGGGTGTTAGTCGAGGCTTAATAGGCCGAAGTTTAGTGTTGTTGATGAGGTTGGTGAATTTAACTGGTGTCTGGGAAGTGGATTTCTTCTGTCCTCAATAACTCGAAGCCCACAATCCACCTCGAAGCATTGCTTCGATCAGATTGGTTCAGGAGCCTACTGGACATGCACGTTGTCACCGTACCCGGCACCATTCAGAAGCCATCCACCCGAATCCCTTTCTCACCTTAGTATTTATTCCTGTCACTCTTTTGAGCTGCACCCCATGAAATTTGTTGACAGTCGACATCCGATCAGTATCCACTGTTCAAGTACAACTAAAATACGGCGAGGCGGTATTATGACCACTCAAGCAAACTTCATCTTTGAACGTGAACCTAGTAAACCCCAAACTTGTCACTAGTATCTGGAGCATGGTGACGGATGGTTTTGTGCGGTTGAAATTCCACAGCTGAAATCTATTCAACTACTGTGGAAGCTTCACTAGCACGGAATAGACTGCTTGTACAGAGTACTTGTGAATATTGCCCTTACAAATAAAATACTATTTTTACTTTTTTGTCTCGGAATATGCGCCACTTGGCGCTGTTTTTTTGGTGCCGAATTGTGTTATGCGTTTTCGTGAAAATCAAGGATTCACATGTGACTCGTCAGAATAATTGTAATTCATCCAACAACTTCGCAGACACATCGCTTCAGTTGTCGGTTGGAGAACTGTCTGCCGAATTCAGAGACAGGTCACCAGCTGAAAGAGCATGTACTTTCGACAAAGTTCGGTGAATTGAAGCGGCTACCTAGTCACAATTTTTCATCCTTATCCCATAACTGGGAACTTCAGCAGCTTGCAAATGTCCAATTCAATTGGTCAAACGCTGTGCCAATCAATTTCTGTGCGGAAATTCACTTTCCTCCCATTCTCTCCCGGACGTGACACCAGCTCTGTCTCCGAGATGCACCGTGATTGGAATAGAGATTGTGTGATCGGAGAAATTGCACAAGTCGCATACGAAATATGTGGGTAAAACTGCGGACATGACGAGAGGTTCATGAACTCCATGCTTCCCAGTCGTGAGTGTCCAGAACGTTCCCAACCATATGAACCGGGTTCAAGCCACCGAGGGTACCTTGCGAGCTGCAATTACTGGCCTGTTGTGGAGCCACGTTAGTATGCATCGACCGCGTCCAGCCGGTCTCGGTCGATGAGCTTTTTGTTCATCCGATTGGAAGCTCGCGGACGCCAACGATTCGTACACGTCTGTATTTCGTGGTGCAACCGTCGATGCGCTGAAGCGGATGGCCATGGTGTTACTTGGTGTTGAGAACGGTTTTCGCCAACACACCTTAGAGCTGGGATTTTGGGTCGAAAATTTGGAAATTGTTGCCAAAGAGGGACCGAATTGACATCTTGAAGCACATTGCGACGTTGAATTCTCACATTGTTTAATCCACTTAGACGGCAGTCTCAAATTTTCTGAACTGCGAATTTGTACATGTCTAGTTTGTTTGAGTTGTCTTTGTAGAAGCTGACGGAGTTTTAGGGGAATTACTTCGCGCGTTTTGAAGTCTCTTGCTCCTGGTCCTTGGAGCTATTTGTGGCGGCGTTTTCGCGTGTCCAGCCCGCTTCGTCATCACTCAGGGGCCTCTCATAAATTTTTTGAGGACTCTTGTTAGCTGAGGTGAGGTCTCGAGAATGAAATTTTGGATGCTGCTTACAGTTGTGTCTTGCTCCTTTTGTCGATCCCAATCGAACGAAGCAGACGATGTACAAGTCGATTCTCATTCTGCGTACTCGTCGTCTACTCGGTTGAGTTGAACTTCGTAAGAATTTTTTGAGGGACGATAGCATCTCCTGTTTTTGGTCGCAAAGAGTGGCAAAGAAATTTCTCGAATAGTCGACTTCAGATATCCTTGTTTAGAGCTTGCCCTGCGAAATTGATTTCGACACCGTCTTGATGGATCCAACCTCTGCGCAGATTGTAAAATGTCACCAGGAGTTATTACCCAGGTTGCGCAAGGCATCAGCTGTCTGGCGGGCGCGTGGATAATAAAATCTATTATAGATGCAGAGCAAGAGAAGCCCATGAGCGGATTCAGCCAATGTCCGACGTGTAACGGGTCTCGACGAGTGCCCTGCATGTGCACGAGATGGTCCGACGACGACGTGGGGTGTAACACATGTGAAGGATCTGGTATGATGCGGTGCAACTCATGTGGCGGCAGTGGGACAGGACGGCCGATTCCGGTGCAAATCCGTGCTTCCAATCCGCCGAGAAACAGCTGATAGACTGCCTTGGATATGCTCCCTCTGTGAAAATCAAGTAAGCGACGCATTTTATTCCACCTTGAGAAATTCTGAAAGCTTTTTAGGGGTGCGCTCTGGAATGAGCATTGAATTAGTTTATACAAAACCTTGTAGGGGTTTATGATTTCTTAAGTGCTAGCCTGCGGACCAGTCAATGCTCGTTAGGCTTACACCTAAGCCTTGAATTCTGCTAAGTCTGAGGATGGGAAGCCTGGCGCCGGACACTTGGAGTGCAGTTATTGTAGAACAAGCTTTGTTCTTGTACATTATTACTTTCCACTGGATTCTGTTGTATCCCTTTCTAAGTTGCAACAGGGTTTATCGAGCATTGTGTATTGGGGGTAGCGTTAAGTATAGTATGTAGTTCTTTTTATAGAGGACCAACTAAGCTGAAGCATTGCAGAACTGAAAGTGTAGTAATGAGTCATGTAATCGTAATTGGGAGTATCCACTTTGATTTTGTGCTTGTAAGTTAATAGTCGATGTGTAACCAGCACTTATGATTACGGTTTGGAGATCTTAAACTGTCATTTAGCTAACAAGGTGCAGTGTGATAAATGTTTTTAGTCCATTCCATATCGGGCAAAGCTTCTCCTGCATGACATGAAAATCTCAAGCATTTCCACCACATAGTAGCCGATATCGGGCAAGTAACCTACACTATAGTTCACAACTGCTCATTCTTTAATTAATACTCTCCTACACCTAATTACTACCCCACAGGCTTGTACACAATACTGAAAAAACAACCTTCTTCCTCACGTACATGAAAGATTTATTAGCGACACGAAATATCCACTACACTGCGCAGCACAGTATAATCATATTACAAAATGAAGCTTAGCATCGCACAACATGGGCGTCTACTAGAAAACTTCTATTCCCACCACCTCATTGTAGTTTTCATGTGGGAAGAACCCTCGATGTAATTATGTACACTCAAGATGTCACTATCAATATCAGATTCCATAGTTAGACCATAGAACTATTGAAAGAGGCTTTCACCTACCGTTTATTTCAATGATCACACAGCAACAAGAAAGGAACTCGGTAAATTCTTTCCCTAGAATCAGCTGCTTCCATTATCTTCGATGTCTTTCATCGCATCCTACCATCACATGTAAACAGATGACAGAAGAGTAATGTGAGAAAACCGTACGTACTAACAAACTTGGTTCAGGCTTCCATTTAAAGACTTTCCCCATGTACAATAGCACATTAGTGATAAGCAGGGATCAACAAACCTTCGCCAATCTACCAACGTAAGATGCTGCAAAAACAGTCGCCACCAGCCCAATTCCTAATGTCCAGTAACTCTCCGGACCGGCAGGGAAGACGGCTTCTGTCTCCTGTTTCTGCAAAAACAGAATCCAACATTTCAGCCCTTTAATCCAGAGGATGGTTTCCACATGTGAAACATATAATCAAAGACGGCAGAGCTGATTCACATGCACTTCATGGAATGTTCAAATATATAGAATCGCTACTACATGTCCCTACAACTAAAGATCCACTCCTTCTCATGGGCCTCATGCACTACCAGGAATCTCGCAGCTGTGCTAGCAGTACAAATGCAAGAACTTATGAGAGTTGTCAACTCTAACTACATGTAACCCCATGTGGACTGAGCCACCACCCTGCAGTTCATAACAAGGTATGCATGTACACAACAAACATTAAGGCAGGTACTGCAGATGTAAGTAAACTTACAATAAAAGCCCTTCCAATGGCACCTGCGCTTACATATGCCCATGTCCCAGGTAGCATACCTAACCAGCTGTAAATTATATCCAGATATTTAATAAGTCATATGTTGATATAATGGTAAACAATATCAACATGTTGCTCTGAACATGAAGGATAACAGATAGTGCTGATAAAGGACAAACAGAGGGTTTGTTGGATTTCAATATAATATACCTTCCAAGTATGTAAGGAACTAATTCGACAGAAGTGAGACCATAGAGATAGTTTCCAAGTGAAAAAGGGAGTAGGGGACTAAGTCGCAGCAAAGTGACCACCCGAAAACCGTCCGCTCCAATAGCCTTGTCAATTGCCAGAAATTTTGGATTATCTTGTGCTAGTTTAAGAATACGATCTCTCGCGAAGTACCGCGCTATCAGGAAAGAAACTGTTGCGGCAATCTGCAAGAGGTTCCATAAAGGACAAGTCAGACATTTCTGCAAGAAATGACGTGTGTAAAGAACGAGGTCATACTAGCTGTGGCATTGAATATGTAAAGCTAGAGTTTGCCTTCTTTGAATCTTGCTTACCGTGCCCGCTATTGAAACCAGAATTGTCCCGTACAAAGTACCAAACAGTAAACCTGCTGACATAGTTAAAGGAACAGCTGGAATGGCAAGCACCTGAAAACTATCCACACATTCATCAGATGATTAAACACCAAGCCACAAAGCTAGCGAATTAACTTGAGCACGTGATTGCTAGTTCAGAAACCTACTGTGGAGCTAAAATCTTGAAACCTCTTCAAGCTAAATAAGCTTGAAAATAAGCAGTTACATACAATTAGCACCCTAAAAGCTCAGCCTCAATTTTGAACAGGTTTCAGAAAATTGCTATAAATGATTGGGAGCTGTTGGACACAAAAACAAATTACAGTGGTAGCCGTTGCTGATGTTTCTCAATGGTTTAAAAGATTTAGCAATTAGAACCTATAAAAAATTCGTGTGATCTTAAATTTATTTTTATGCACTAACTTGTGCAATTAGCAACAGCCATAGACTTACAATTGTATGTGAAATGGCGAAAGGAAGACATACCTCTAAGCCAGCATAAGCAATAACAAACAGAGCGTATCCAGCAGGGCCGTAACCTGATTTCCAATGCGCACGAGCTCAATCACCACAATTACAGAAGCAGGCCTCAAGAACTAGCAAGCACGCAAGCGAGCTGCAGGACTAAAGAAGCCATCTGAAGCAGAAATGAACAATGTTAACCCTTGGTGGGCAATCTCACAATCCCCTTGACCAAAAGGATCCGTGAAGTCAAATGGCTCGTCATTCTCATTCGTCTGATTCGGTTGTGCCTAAACCTTCAGTTTCAAAGCCCTAGCATAGCAATACAAGTCAGAAGATGAAGATTGAGTTATCATCGAGGAATTTGACTGACCTTCAAGGAAATCTGAGAATTGAGTGAGGATATCATTTATTTGTTCCTTGTAGACAGCACCCAGAACTCCAAAAGCTCCCACAAAGGCAAGCAGCAAAGTTGTGGCTATGATGGTGCCTTTGACAGTTCCTGAAACATCCTCCTCCTCGGCCTTGGCCTCTTCCTTCAAATTAACGCCCTCTTCGTCGGCTTGTGTCGCGAGTAAATCTGCTGTCTCCGTTGGAGATTTTGAAGAATGCGCTTCTTTCCCTTTACTACGGATATCTTCGTTAGCAGAAGTTGGAGAAAACAATTCTATGGGTTTTGATTGATCATCCACTTCATGTAATACCTCCCGCTGGCTATCGTTTAAGGAGGCAACTCGAACACTGCGCACTCTGTTCCTACTTTGCTGAAATAGATTCGTTCTAGTCTGTTGTCTAAGAAGGTTCCCTGCGGATAGAAATAATGGCAAGCAGCAGGAGAGTCGTGAAGAGGCGATGAGACCACCAGCACTCGTTTTTTCTCTTCTCAACTTGGCTGCTACACCTGACTTCAGCTGCATCGAAAGCGCAGCATCCGCCATACAGGGAGACGATGAAGACGAGGAGCTAGCCCGGCATGACCCACTTGCGGACACAACAACCGAATCCCCCTGCAATTCCTGATAAGAAGGCTGTCGCTGCACTCCAACATGGAACGACAGCGCTCCTAAGAGGAGGGTCGCTGCCATTCCTCAACCCTCAAAATCCTCCACAAATCCCTTTCTCTTTCTCAAACTTGTAAATTCTCGAAGAAAACTGCTAGAACCTACTGCTGAATGCTTGAGCTTCCGTTCGAGCTCCACCAACAACTATGGCTCCACAAAATCTCTCCAAGCACACGAAAGAGACGAAACTCTGCTATTCTACAGCTTCGATGAAGATGGATAGACACAGTTGCATAGCTTGTCACCACGACACTGACCATAATCCAATTCAGCTGCCAATCAGGAGCATGCCTCTCTTCTCCTCTCTTCTTCTCGCCTTCAGCTTCAAAAGCCCATAAGATCTCCAATCCAAAAAAACCACAACCCAGAAAATAATAGTCCCAAAATTCGGCGGAAAAGACAAAATAAAATAACTATTCACAAGGGCAGTAATTATAGGTATATTTCTTTCAGTTGAGTTTCTTATATCACAACTGCAACGATCACGGCTGAATCTTAGAGTCCTTTATAATTATTTGTGGTTCAAACAAAAAGGACACGGAGCGTACGCAAATTCCAAACTTGCAAATTACAGTCTTCAACGGTGTACTTGATATCTTCTTGATAGTAATTCGTAAAAAAATCATAATAATTTCTTTTCTAGCCTCGCAGACATATTAACAAGCGAGAGTCTTTAATTTGTTGAAACTGCAGCAAATGTAAGAAAGAAAAAGTATTATTATTTGAAATTTATATTGCAGCCTGTGAATATACTGTATTGCTATCTTTCGACATTTCATGCCTACCATGTGGCACAGCACGCGTGGATGAATTTGACGTGATAATTGCGAAGTTGCGACAGAGACCTCCAGCTTTACAGAAACCCATTTCCATTCGATTTCGGATGACAATCGAATACACACTCCTCTCAAAGAAAAATGAGGGACCCATGCTCGGCTTCTAGGGTCATCTTCGCATCGAGTTGAACTGGGTTCCCAATCTCTTACGTCTCACAGCCTCGAACCGGAAACAATCCTGCAATCGATCCTACTTTACGGTCATTGAGTACGCCAAAAAGACAAACATCACACAGTACTCGTCATGAGGCGATTCTCATAACAACGCGAAAATCAAAGCACAGAGAGTGAATCTCTTCATTGACATTGGGAACCTCATTCAAAGCAGTTTCGTTAGTGCAAACCACATGTAACAGTGAGGGTATGTTACATCGAAGCATATTACTTCTGAGGGACACAATGGAAAGTGACCACTAATGGAGTTTCGGTAACGGATATCCTGCCCTCTATCTCACTCATCCTCTATGTCTTATGTCGGTGTGTATATATAACGCAGTAAGTACCGAAGGGCACCACTTCATGCACAAGCATAGATTACAAGGTACCTGGAACTCGATATAATTTTCTCGTGATTGAGTTAAATGCTAAACCAGAAGGAAGATCACCACACGATGCAATACTTGCTGTTGAATTTTGGATTATTTGATCTTGAAAACCTGCACCAAACATGACTTGTCAGAAGCAACATTACTTTTACACTGAAAACTTTGAGCTATGTAGCCGCTGCTGAAACTCTAAGTATGTCCCTACAAGTCATTCGAGCGGCGAAAACTGCTATCTCTTTGAGGTTTCAGCAGCGAAGCTGCTTCGGAGTTGCATAAGCAATTACCTTGGTGAAACGATCCATAGTTCCAGCCATCAAAGATATCGACACATCCGTCGCATTTCTCTGCATCGCCTTAAGTGTGTGTCGTCTTCACTCTACCCTCAATTATATGGAAACGCCAAGACTAAAACTCTATACCTTTCAATACATAAGGTCACCCGGCAAAAGTGATTTCATGAACTTCAGTATAAGAAACCGCTGACTGAAAGAGATTACCATCGCCTGCAGCAGCTTGTTATGGCCCTCCACGTCTTCATGTACATCCCCTTCAACTGGACGTAATATCATCTTGAACGGATCAAATTACTTTAGCTAATTACAGTTCCATGCATAACAATGAAAATACACGAAATAGTCCCCCTAACCACATTCCGAATGCTACCAACCGGCCACTGAAACCCTAAATTTCATCTTGTGTATCTCAGGGAGCATCCTTTATATTTCTTACATATGATCGGAGATTCACCCTATCTACTTTCTCTTCTCAAGGATAAACGATGTTCGAATCCTGCGTTGTAAAACAAGTGACAGTTGAGTTCAGGTACTTACAGAATCAGGTCAAACTCTTTTAGACGCCCCGATGCCAACTCATTAAATCAATCTTCTTCTAGCGAATTCCCGTTTCATTCTCAAGAATTCAATCTCAAAGTCATTGATTAGACCACCTCGTTAAGTACGCGGACAATTCTTCAAAAAACACAACTCGGGCATTACGCAGTGATTCTGCTGTCAACTGTTCGTTAGTTTCTTTTGAGTTTGAATACGGTATATTATGCATTTCTTTTTAGAATTTCATAACCATCATCCGACTAAATAGATAAAATATAAAGTAAAAGATATTTTGTTTATTTATTTATTTTGATTAATAGTTTTTTTGATAAGAATAGCAAGCATTGAAGATATTACCCAAAAAGAAATTTATTGTTGTTAGTTTCTTATAACTTTGGTTTCAGTAGATAATTATACAAAAATTTGAAATTTTGCAGTTTGTTTTTTTAAAAAGAAAAAAAAATTGTGGCTGTATCTTTGTTCACATCAAAGTTGAACATTTGGCATCTTCAGATGGATGAAATTGGATGGTCTTTGTGCAATTCATGATATATATATATTTATTTTTCAAATTTGAAAATTTGCAAATTAAAACTCAACAACACAAAAATAACCTTATTATTTCTTATTATTTTTTATTTGTAAAATATAGATTTCTCTAGAAAGTATTATAATCATTTCTTTTTTATTTCCTCTAAAAATATTATGCCACCATTTGAGTTGAAGATTCTCTTGAAGCAATACATGTCATTATTTACTCTTCAAAACTATAATATTTAGTACCAATTCTTAAAATCTATTTTTTACTCTATTTACTATGTCCATAAATCTTCCTAAAAGTTTTGGAATGTCTTTAATGCAATTAAGGTTCACTAATAACTAATGTCAATTTTTTTTTAATGTATCCGAAAAATCTGTAAAAAATAAATACTTTAAAAAATGACCCCACTTTGATTTCAATGCAAAATGCACATCACCAAAATCTTTAAATGAAACCATCAAGTCATACTCACCCCCCACATCAACACAAAAATGTTAATATGTATATTAAACAAAAATGGAATTGAAACACATATGGATTGTATTTCACAAAAATCAAATTGAACTAGTGGTAATGATTCAACCACTAAACAAACACCTTCATTTGATGTATGTAGCAATCTTTGAATATAATACTCAAATATATTTCACTTCTTAAAATAAGTAGAAATTTGTTGAGAAACTATTTTCCTTCAAGTCAACATCTAATCAATTGATCGTTTTTGGAAATTCTTAAAATTCATCAACCTCGGCAATAACCCATATGTCACTACTCAAATATATATATAAAATTTGCAAAAAGTTGTAGTGCAATGTTCTTTTTGTTTTGTCTTCAAATATAAATACAGCAATGAAAAGTTGCATTGGAACTTTCAAGAATAAATATGAGATGTAACCATTTCAATTTACATATAATTGAGGTGAAAACTCTTGTTATTATGTATTGCAATAGAAATTTCAGAACTAAATAAATGGAGATGTATCAATTGTGTATCAATGTTGTGCAACTTGTCATAAGTCATTATCTAAGTGGGGATAACAAAGGATGGGTTTCAAGGGCAAGCATATATACAAAGTTGTCTTTTGAAGAAGAATTGAATCAAACTTAACAATGTGTGTCATGTCTCCACAATTTTAAAATGACCCCATTGTTATAATATTTATCACAAAAAATTTCAACATCACAAAAAATACGTCACAAAATATTGTACTATTTGGAAATTTTGGAAAATAATATATATATATATATGATAATTATAAAAAATATTATTTATTAATTAAATAAAATCGCACAAGGATTTTTTTCAGATTTTTTCTTTTTTTAATTTAGAATTACAATTACTTACTAATTTTTTTCATGCCCATAGATGTACATCCACAAAATTTATATTCAAACTTGTGTTACTTTGCAGAGAAGATGTGTTTTGTATGTTTCAATTCAAAATTGTAAAATGCAGAAACCACAAATTCATAAATCTAATTGGACCACAGAATGAAAATGCCGTTGATTCTTAATGAAGTTGTACTTGGGTTCATGTGAGAGTGCCATTATATTGAGTGCTTCAACTTATTGAAATTGGACATATCCCTGCATTCTTATTGCACAATGAAATGATTATCAACATCTTTTTCTTTTAAGTTTAATTTTTTTTTATGTTTGTACAAAACATGTTAAAACACCAACACTGGAAAAAAATCACATATGCTTTTAAATATACATGCATATGTGTGTTTATATATTTCACATTTTTTGAGATCACTTCTATGTATATGATCCTCATTTAACTTCAATTAACAAAAAGTTTATGTGCAATAAATATAATTGCTAAAAATGAATTCCTCTTATTTCTATTTCAGGAAAAAGTAGATTGTAAAAACTATACAAGAATATATGAATATAATTTGATACTAAAATCTAATTCATTTGGTTTGATGCAAACAATACATGTTTATAGCATTTGTATATGTAAAATTTTGAATGCATTACAGTTGACTCGTTTTAGTATTTTGTGTCCAAATGTATACAAAATTTAACATTCTAAAAAAGGAAGAAAGAAAGAAAGAAAGAAAGAAAGAAAGAAATTTTTAATGAATGCTCAATAAACAAAACCAACCCCTTTATGTGAGAATATTGATTTACTAGAGAAAGATGTCTTTTTTACTACATGTTTTGTTACACAACCACTATTGTTACATTTCCATGTAACAAATTTCTCCACACAAACTCCCCACTCAAAAGCAGATGTAGCCATAGAGAACAGAATCCTACGTGGCAGTGAGAATCTACCTGGCAGGGCAGGTGGACATTTTGGCAATGGCGGAAACCAACAATTCCGTGGCCACCTAAGCAGGCGGGAAAGAACACACACACCACATCGTGAATGGAATGGGCTTACGTGGCAGATGACGTGGACCAGGTGCAAGCTCCAGTGATGCGCTTATATGTTCCCCGCGGCCCTGCGTCCGTGCTCACACCGCCTACTCGTCGTTGGGAATGAGCAGGGCAGAACGATCCGATGCGGGCCATGTCGAGATGATGATCCCAGTGGGTTTGTGACAATTCCAGCCCTGCGGACTTTCGGTGGGATTGTGTGTGTGCTTTAGAGGATTGATTGATGCAGGAAGGGCACTTGGTGTTGCAGTCGTTGGCCAGGGTGTATGAGGCCACATTCGGGGAGATGCCGTCCTCGGCTTTGCAGAGCCATGGGGGGGTCGGTCTGGGGGTGGCAGTCACGGCCGTGGCTGGAGTGGTCGTCGTCGCGGCCGTGGGCGGGTTGATCTACTACAACGAAGGGAAGTTGCCGTTCGAACTGTCGTTTTCCTCTCGACGGTCCCATTCGCCTCTGAATGAGCAGAAGTGGGTCGCTTTCTTCGACCACGACCAAGGGAGGCTGTTGGACGGCGGAGATCAGGTTATATATAAGGTGCGAGGTGGGGGTATCGATCCCAACATTCGGGCGCAGGTATGGCCGTTTCTGCTTGGCGTGTATGAATTAGGCAGTAGTTTGGACGAGCGGGATGCCGAAAAAGCAACGAAATTGGAGGAGTACGAGGAGCTCCGAGCTCAGTGTGTCAACGTTGTTAAATCCCTAAATCGGGAGAGTGAGGGTGGTGATGAGGCGAAGGATGAAGGTGCAGAAGAGAGTGTCGTGGATGGGGGTGGTGGTGAGCAGGCGGATGATAAAAAGAAGGGTAGTTCTGAGGGCGCTGGGAAATCTGTGGGGAAGAGGCCGAGGGAGGAAGAGGATTTTCAGACTTGGCAACGAATCATTAGGTTGGATGCAGTCCGAATGAACGCAGAGTGGATTCCATATGCAGAGACTCAGGCTCATGTCACGTTTGAAGAAGCAGCCCGGCTGTCTAAAGTAGCTGGGTTACAGGATGACGAGCATTTGGAGCCACCTAGGAGACACCATGCCGCACGGTTGGTCCTTATACTTGAGGCTTACACTATCTACGATCCTAAAACAGGATATTGCCAGGGAATGAGTGATCTTCTTTCACCTTTTGTAGCCCTAATTGATGACGATTACGAAGCATTTTGGTGTTTCGTTAGGTTCATGAAAGTTGCGCGTCATAACTTTCGCTTAGACGAAGTCGGCATCCGTCGGCAACTGAACTTGGTCAGTGCCATCATCAAGGCTGCTGATCCTCTGCTTTTCCAACATCTGACGAGCTTGGGGTGTGAGGACTGTACTTTCATCTACCGAATGGTGGTAGTGCTCATGCGCAGAGAGCTGAGCTTCGAACATACCCTTTGTTTGTGGGAAGTCATGTGGGCTGATTGGGCTGCCATTGGTACTATGAAAGGGGGCCCCGACGGGAGGAAAAGGGACAGGTTAGGTCCACCTTCTCGAGATTTATTGCTTTATGTTATTGCGGCTGCTGTGCGAAACAAGAGGACAAAAATTCTCCAAAGCAGCGGTATGGATGAGCTAGTAAGGGAGTGCAATGACATGGCGGGTAAATTGGAGATATGGAAGCTGCTTGCGGACGCTAGGGAGCTTGTACGCTTGGTGCAGCATAAGGTCACTGAGAGTGTTCAGTGAGATCCCTGTCATGTCATGATTGATTCCTTGTCGGCCTAAAGTTTAGTTATAACAGATCTGTTCATAATTCTTTTTGTTAAGATAATGAGTTTATGCTTTTCTTTTCTTTTCTTTTTCATCGCATTCTTTGTCATCAGTGCTCATAACTGAGCAGGCGTGTACATCTTGAAAGTCATTAACAGCTCGTTAGATGTCAATGAGAACGTGTTTCTTTCTGTGGTTCAATGTGTCGAACTACTTTTAACTCCGAGCTTGCGGCAGACGAGAGCTGATGATGTCTTTGCTGTGACGTGAAAATTGCAATGATGTGATTTTCTTTCGAAATTAACTCAAGCAATTGTTTTTCAATTATATATCAGTCATCGTTGGAATTAGTGTTAGCATTAAAGGGCAATGTAGAAGTTCGACTTGTGAGTCCCTGGCTGGATTTGCAGTGAGCAATATATGTTACCAAATGTTTGTTTATGTTTGGAGTTGGGTTTTCCTGTAAACTGCAGCTCTTTGGTAGGGCTCACCAGGGTTGAGCAGATTGGATCAGTTAACAAACGTATCTGCAGAGATTGTGTGTCTATCCAATTGAGAATTGAATATGTATATTGATTACTTAGCTTCCTTCTTCCAGGACTGGAAGCCTCCTGTACTTTGCCGCTTAAGCTTTATGCTACAAACATTTAATTTTGGATTACAGTTTACTCTGAAATGATATTGTTGGATACAGACTTATATGAAGAGTATTACTCGGATCAATGTAATTATATTGTTTCTCACTAGATCATTGTTGAGTAGGTATTGCATGAACATTTCTGTAGATATTCTTGGAATTATCTGTAAAAGTTTAGGACTATTTCTTCGTCAAAAAACAGTTTTAGACTCTCACATATGTGTTTCTTGTAATTCCGCTTAGTGTTGATTCCAACAGCCTAGGATTACTGTAAGTGTAATTTTATACTGGATAAGAGTTTTACGTTGATAAATTGAAGTCATGCCCGTCGATCAAAATGATTTTAGTGAGTAAAACATAATCGTGAATAATTCAGTTTAGGTTAGTTTTTCTTACTCTATACATTGGTGTTTTAAAATTATTCCTACAACCAATGTGTCATTGTCAAGTTGGATATGTCAAAAATATAAAACTTTCATATGATTAGTACAATGTTGCACAAGGGTATTTAAAATATTAGCACCGTAAATATGGATTTGATTTTACATATTTCTACAGCATTCAAGAATGAATATATCTAAAGTCTACAATCACAACATTTGACTACACTTACCATGTTTGAACAATACCAAATTCAAGACATACTCAATTATTACATATTTAATTAAAATGTAATTGAGTCTATGATACTAAAATATCCCTGCTTTCTACTCTCTCGTTGAAATAAATCCTCATTTTAAAGTAACTTTCAGAAAGATAGAAATAATGTCCGTTATGTTTGTTTTACATGTTCTCATTTCATATTCTACAATGCAAATAATGGATACAGTATTACAAACTCCTTTGCATCTCCACTTTTGTTGTAAAAAAAGTCATCCATAAATTAAGTTTCTATTTGTTTTAGTTTATTCTATTCTATTATAATGACATAACCTCCAAATTGCCTATAAAAAAACTAACCCCTCATGCCAACTCAAACCGAGGGACACAAACCCTGTCTCACGTCATTTGAATCACGGTGATGGGCGCCCAAGGTGCCCATGGCCGCGTTTGGATAGGGTCGTCTGCGCAGTTGAGCAGCTCTGCGAGGTTTCTCTTGAACCCCTCGAATCAAATTTGTGTCTTCGTGTGCTCTTGCAGTGAATTCTCGCATCCACCGAGGTTTCTCTTATCTCGCTGCGCACCTCAATTTCTGTGGGCACTCATCAAATTCTTCTTTTTATTTAAGACGTGTAGTTTCCATTGAAGCGCGATGTCGGTGCTTCTCCAGGCGTCCATTGTCGGTAGCAGTTTGTTTTCAGAGCAGGGCAGTGGTCTCTCAGCTGGTTGCTCCAGTGCTGCTGATTCTAGCTCTGGTGGGGTTTGCCAAGGTGTGGACTCGACTCATTAGAAATGACGCAATGGATTTAAGCCTCGAAACGTCTTGTGTCTATGAGGGACGTATGTTGCTTTGGTGAGCCTTTGCATTCGCTGAAGTGTTCCTTGCTGAGGTTTGTGGTCTCGTAAGTTTCGGCTGAATGTGCGCTCGAAATTTGTGGCAGTGTCTGCACGAGGGTCATCATGGCGGGCTCTTGCTGGAGAGCATCGTCTGCTGTGCGTTTCTCAGGCCGGAAGAACTTGGCAGGTAGAAACCTGTGGTTGATCATGCAAGGGGTATTCTTTTAATTTATTCATTCGAAAGAATAGAATGATATGTAACAGTAATAAAAACATTATCATGATTATGTTTATTATTTTCCTGATGTTTGAATTTTGATTTAGGTGCGTGCGAAGCCTCAGCGTCAGAAAGAAGATGAGGACGATGACATTTTCTTCCCAGAAGCTGAAGAGATTGACAGAGGTAACTGAGTTTTCTGAAGCTGAGGCGGAGGATTGATCTTGGCAGTATACTGTCTTTGTTTGCAAGAACAAATATATTGGGCAAGATTATGGAGGTTGCGCTGTCTAGCTGTTCCCAAGAATCTCATTGGAATTGTTGGTGGCAGTTCTTGGTTATTAATCGCAAACAAAAAGCTTTCAGAAATTAGGGTTACTTTCTTGACTTGACCTGATACTTTGCTGGAGATAACCACTTTCAGTAGCTCATTTTGCTGCGCCACTTGCTTGCAGAGGCGCTTCAAGCTTTTCTGGATCTCGAACTTCAAACCGATTATGAGTTAGACGACGGTACGCTTCTGACTGGCCTTGTAATGTTCGTTGTATTCAATTCATGGCCGTAAGATGCATGTCTGACATTTGTGCTTAGATGATACGTTTGTTTATTGTCTGTTTCGCGGTTCAGGGTTCAAACATGTAAGGCTCGTCTGTTTAGGGCACAATGGACTCCGACTATATGTGCGCTATTTACAGATTTTGCGTGCATTTTAGCGTGTATTGCTATTGCTGATGGATTTTGCTTGGGGTACAGCACGGCATTATGAGATCATGTTCTTGGTTCCCGAGAGTAACCTTGAGAAGGTCCCAGATGTGATCAAGAAGGTTGAAGGTACGCTCGGCGCTTCTTTGTTCTTTTGCAACAGTTTGTATATCTTTCAACTGGAGATCATTGCAGTATATAGTTGATTGAAGTAGAGTTTTCGCATTTTATGAACATCTTCTTGCCTGACTTGAGAAAACCTTTGTCTGCGTGCAGCTTTTGTTGCAGAACAGAAAGGAAAGATTTGGAGAGTAAACGACTGGGGTGTGAGGCGCCTAGCTTACAAGATTAAGAAAAATGAACGGGCTAATTATGTGCTTATGAACATAGAAATGAAGGCCGAAGCTATCAATGAGTTGAATTCCCTGTTCGAAAAGGATGAGCGTGTGATTCGGCACATGTGCATTTCTCAAAAGCAAGCATTTACGGAAGACACAGTACCCCCTCCGAACTATTACTCCGAATCAGCTGAAGGTGATGAGGCTCAAGCAAATGACGAATATGATGACGATTCTGACGAAGAAGAGGAGGAAGATGAGGAAGTAGCTAGTGATTCAGATGGGAAACGAGGATGGGATAAGTTAGTCCAAGGGCAGGAGAGATCTGTGGGACGTTAGGTTTTGCGCTTTCAAATTGAAGAAATTTTTACTCGATCCACTAAATGTCAGGGGTGTACTTCCGTGTCTCTCATGGCTGAAGTCCCTGTTTTGGGATACGTTGGTATAGTTCACAACTTTGTCTACGCAATTCTCGTCCCCCATTTTTCCAGGCATGAACAAGTTCCATTCGCATTCACCGTTGTTCATTCTAAGTTTTGGTGAGGCTGGTTCACTGCAATACAGTTGGCGGAAGTGATGTAGCAGCGTCACTTAGAATTCAGTTTCATCCGCTGTAGAGTAGGTTTGGTCATCTTCTTTGTCATCTTTGAATTATTTTGGGATGTGAGAGGAGGGGGTGGGGGAGAAAGGGAGATCGTTTTGGGTTGTGTGGATATCCTGCGGGATCGAAGATTGGACTGTTCTTCCTTATTTATCCTCTAGTCCTGTTGTGGTGCTGATCGAAGTTTGCGGACCTTGGTGATTCCTTGCCTGGCTCACTTGGAGTATATTCCATTTCCACCTCCATCGTTATGTGAAGAAGTGATCAGGCGACTGCTAACGAGTTGTTTCATGTGAATTAATTATCAGATTAGCAATAAGTATTTGTTCTAAATCTGCTAGAAATACCTCCTAGGTCTCTCGTCTGGATTTTCTCGTCACATCTACCTTCCACGAGCAGACTCTAACGCAGTCACTTTTTCAGTGCGTCGCTGGACACAACCGGAGTGTTGGTGACATATCGGATGCATTCTATTATGATCAAAGTCACCATCGATGCACGGCTATCAATACCTGCTCCGTGGCCAGATTTAATTTCGTAAATTGGTTGATCAGGCAGGATAACATCACAGATGAAGTTTCTAGAAATAAATACACCCATACACGTAGTTATCAGTAAGCAGATCACCAGGAAAATCCATGTAATGAAATAGCTCGTTTCAATGCACTTACAGTTAGTGGATCCTTGAGCAACTTGCTTTCTGGCTCGAGAATGTAATCAACATGACCGCAAAGTTCATCTGTCTCTCTTTCTCTCTCATACTATATCCACACAGTCTCATTCTTCTTCTTCTTCTACTTCTTCTAGCGTCTTCTGGCGTCTTGTTGGAGCAGGTGGTCGGGAAAACCAGGTAACGTCGGTAGCGGGGCCATGGAGGTCGCGCGAACAGTGGTACCAAGGCAGCTCTCGGAGGTCGCGGGGCGAGCGGAGGAAACGGTGGGAAGGCGGGTCGAGGGGGCCGCTGGCTCTCAACTTCGACAACAAACAACGCAAACAACACTCCGAGGACCAACTTCACCGCATCCATGATCGTATCCACAAACTCGTCGCCGAGTTCCACAGATTCTGCAACACACGAGGCGAGGAAAACAAAACCCAACTTGCAGTCACTTAAGTTCTTTGTTTTTTTACATCTCTCGAACATACACCCACCCACGCTCACACACACACCCACACCCACCCACATTGCTTGACTTGGTTCTCTGATTTTACTCTTCAGAATCGATGCGGCCATGGGTCACTACGAGTGGTGTTCTAAGCATATGCTTCAACAATTTGTGCCCTTTTACCCTCTGAATCTAACTGGATCAATTTAGTATTTATGTGCTCATGTCTGATGTATCCAACTTAATGTTTGTTGCTGAGAAAATTACAGGTTGAACGGTGGTACAATCAAATCGAATCAAACCATATTTTTACTTTTCTTTTTCTTTTCTGAGGTGGCAACATGAAGTATGAGTAACCCCATGTGATCGAAGAAATTGTAAGAAAACTTGAGCGAACAAATTTGTGTGTATGGTGATATCAAGATATATCTTGAGCGATCCTTTTCAGAATCCAAAGTTAGAGCTTCGAGAATAAGAAATATACATGCACAATTCAACTGTTGTTAGACAAGGCAAAAGATTATGAACAATCTCAACGTCTTTGAATATAGATGCTAAAGTAATTCTGACAATATTGGTAAAAAAATAGTTAAATAAAGTGTAGCTATGTTGACTTGTGTACAAGATAAAATAAATTGTATCATAATTAGAACATAGATCCAATGATTTAATGATGTTCTATTAGGACTTTTGGAGTGACAAATGTGTGCAAATAAAAAAGGAAACTGTTAGGTAGGCATCCTTTTTTTAATTGCAGAGACATCACTTATGCCACGCACCTCAGCATACACACAATAAAACAACTATTAACACTAAAACTAATAGGGATAGATTTTTAATAAAAGTTTTTGTTTTATTTTGATTTTTTGAATTCATTTTCTTAATTATAATCCATACAATTTTAACAACTATTTATGTTATATAATTTAGGTGATACGCTTATATATTTAAAAAAGACTATTATCTTTATTTAGAGTATCTTTTATAATAAGTTTACTTTAAATGTTTTAGTGTATATAAGAACTTCATTGTGTTTATGAAAGGTGTGTGGCATAGGTTGTGTCCACACAATAAAATAAGGGAATCCACTAGATGATCAAATGAATAGAAGAAATTGTAAGCAATAATCTATGATTTGGTTCTTAGTATCATTTTAAATATAATTTCTTTAATTTTTAATAAGTTTATTGTTTCAAAAATACTATAAAAATCATCTTTTCAATAATTAATCAACCTTTTTTTTTTTATAATCTTGAGATGAATATTTTTTGTAGCACCTACAAATATATATATTGTTTCTATATAATAAATGTAAGAATTACTTTTTAAGGCGATTTAACTCAAAATCTGGCCTATTTTTTTTTGAAGTGATTGGCTAAGAATAATTTCCGTTCTTTCTACTTGGAATTATCCAAAATAATAAGATTTGTGTTTATCATTCTATGTTACAAGCTAGAAATTTTAAACAACATATGTTATATCTTAGAATAGACTTTCTAAAGGCTTATTGTATTTTACCTTATAACTTTGTATTCAAAAGTTATAGAATTATTAAGCATTAGTTCAAACCTTGCAAAATAAAAAACAGATTTCTATTTACAAGAGTTGAGGTTAATAACAACATCAAAGGGTTTTTTTTTTTTTTTTTTTTTTTTTTTTTTCCCTTAGATTTATTTTTATGCAAAGATGTGTATTTTTTTTCTTTTCTTTCTCGGGATCCAATTTTTTTTACAATGTAAAAGAACTCTTCAACTTTGATGTCAAATATTGTAGATAAGAAATCAATTTAAAATATTTAATTGTCTATGATAAAAAAAATAAAAAAAAACTAAATAACATTCACTTAACATAAAATAATTAGGTAATTTTTGTAAACAGTTAAGAATCCAATCTTGATTAAAAAATTAAACAAATTATAATTTTAATACATCTCGAAGCTTTAGGATTAATTAGTCAAAATTAACAAGACATTAGTGATTTGAATTATAGTAATTTCAATAGAAATATAAATTTCTTAAAACTATGATGAAATAAAGAATTATAACTTTCCAACTTAGAATATTATTTAGTCTATAAATAGATGTATAAAGAGAGTAAAAATAATTTTACTAAAGAAACTATAAAATAAATTAAAACATCAATGCTTCTTAATGCTACATTGACTACAAAAAATTCTTATTGTTGATTAAAGATTATTTTTATGATTTTATTAACATTTTTACTTATAGACATTTCATTTTTATGTTATGAAACTTTTTCTTACAAAAACAAAAATTACTAGAAATTAAGTGATGAGTTCTTTTTTAGGATAAAATTAAATATAATATTAGATAATACTTATTTTATTCTATTTTTATTTTATATACTTATGATAAAATCTTATTAGAAATTTCTCTCTCTCTCTCTCTCTATATATATATATATATATATATATATATACATATTCTTAAGAATTACTAAGAATATGTATATATATATATATTGCTATAAGAATAAGTATATATAAGTATATATAAATATATATACATATTCTTAGCAAAATCTCAATATCAAGTATAATAAGAAGCATCTTATAAGTCAAAAATATTAGAATAGTTAAATTAATTTCTATAAAATAAAAAAAATAGCCATGATCATCTTTCTAAAAGAAAAAAATAAAATATAACTATTAGAATCATAATAATTATTTTATCTTTGTTATTGTAGAAGGTCTAACAACAATTGGATTATCTACACTTAATAAGAATTGGTTTTGATCTAATACACACACATACATTTTTGTCTAATTTTTTTAATATAATAAATAATTATGCATTGTTAGAGGAATAAATATTGATATTATTCTTTGATTGTGTTCTATACTATGTGTTATGTTTTAAATATTTAAAATTTTCTTTTTTATATGATTAACTCATGATAATCAAATCTATCTTATATTATATGGAAACAAAAATGTATAGACACAAAATACTACAAGTTAAAATATGTGACTTAGAGATTTCTTATATTAATTTCTATATAAAGATCTTAAATTTTGAATAGTGTTATTATTTTTACTATTAAATATATTTATTTAGTCATAGTTTAATTATTTAATAAAAAATATATCTCAAAATTTCATGTTTAATTTAATTTTTTAATTTTTTTGATTTTTATATTAAAATTTAGCTATTAAATATAATTTCACAATAAATAAAAATAGAATTAAGTTTATAAAGTGTATTTATTTTTAATAAAGGTGTATCAAATATATAATATAATTAATTTTTCTACATAAAGCCTCATTTAAGGAAAATTTCAATGCAATAGATAGAAGGTGCAAAAAAATATATATTTTTTAATCTTTAAAATTTATTTTTTTTATTTTATCATTATTTATCTTTATAGATTAATAATGTAACTGATTTGGCTTTTTAGATCTTTTTAATTATTTTGTAATTCATATTTTATTAAAATTTAATAGAAGTAAAGCGAATTGAAAAATGTTATACATCTTGTATAGTTTTAAAGCTTTGTCTACTCATAATTGTATCTTTCTTTTAAAAACTAAAAAAAATATTTTAAAATAAAAAATTAAAAAAAATAAAATAAGAAATATAATCCATAAGTAATGGTTTAAATTCTTATAAGATAAATGTTAATTTTATGATTTTCTTTTGGTAAAGATGTAATATAAGATTAAGCAAAGGATTTTATTTTCAACTAGTATAACAATATATGGTACTAAGTTGTACAATATGTTTTGTTTTATTAGCTATATATCTATATAAACCATCTAAAGTAAAAAAAAAATGTATGTTTCTTCTTCTTCTTTGATGAAAAAAAAGATAAATAAAAGTATTATACTGAAAAGTAAGAGTAGATACTTTAAGAAGTTTAAAATATTTAAGGCACTTGAGCAAAAGTAAATTTAATAAAAAATTTAAGCTATTTAGAGCTTACACTGGTGGTCAATTAAAAACATGATTTTTTCTAAGAAAAAAGAAGTATTAAAAGACAAACATCAATACTACATAATCTAAATAGAATGAAGTTTTCAAGAGGAAAAACCAAACTATTCTAAGGAATAGCAATTAATATGTTTATATACTACAAAGTTATTATAAGTTTAAGAAAAAAGTGTTAGTAATTATAGTATATATAAAAAATATTTACTTTATAAGTATCCTTGTATTAATGACATTTAAAGAAGTTTAGTGCAAAAATAATCTTAAAGTTTTTGATTTAAACTTATTGTATATATTATATTTCCACAAATACCATTTTAGTCTATTAATTCCATACATAGATAATTTTTATAGAGATGTCAAGTCACCAATTAATAGTAGAAGTATTTGTAAAGAACTACATTCTTTTAAATCTAATACTTGGAGACTTTTGAGGTTGTCAATTGTATCTAAGAAGATTTTTTAATTTTGCACACTTACTCAACTTAAGCTTCTTCAAGTTAGATAAATTGTATATAGATGTTGGAAGATATTCTATTTGAGTGCATGTAGTTATAATCATTCTTTATAGAAATGTCAAATCACCAATTGATAGTGGAAGTATTTGCAAAGAATAACATCCTTCTAAGTCTAATACTTGGAGACTTTTGAGGTTGCCAATTGTATTTGGCAAGCTTTTTAATTTTTCACACGTGCTCAAATAAAACTCCTTTAAGCCCAATAAATTGCATGTAGATTTTGGAAGTTATTTTATTTGAGTGCATCTATCTATAATCATTTTTTGTAGAGATGTTAAGTCACCAATTGATGGAAGAAGTGTTTGCAAAGAATAATATCCTTCTAAGTCTAATACTTGGAGACTTTTGAGGTTGCTAATTGTATTTGACAAAATCTTCAACCTTCTACATCCGCTCAAATCAAGCTCCTTCAATCTTACTAAGTTGCATATATATGTTGGAAGATTTTCTATCTTCTTACAATTTCTCATTTATAATACTTGTAGATTGCTACAAGATTTTAACTCTTTTAAAGTTGAATTTGTAATTTTTGTTTCATTCAAACAAAGCCATACCAACTTATTGGAATTGAAATGCATATAATGGTTAATAACTTGTAAATCACTCTTTGTCAAATCCAACAACTTTAATTTTGTGAAGTAGTTTACTTGCTTTGTTTCATAATATCTTTTTGCATGCTTTTGATATTGACAAAACTCTAATTTTCTAATTTTAAATAATAATAAGCCTTCTATAATTGTATTACTCTACAAAACCACACATTTTGGTCAAACAATCCTCATTTATATAACTATTGTCACATTAATAATCAAATTAGTTAATAAAAGTATATTCTTTATCATATCAAATCTAATCACTTTTAATAGTATTCTTATAAATGCATCTGTTTTAAACATTAAAACAAATTGCTTACAATGTCTTATTCTAAAACTTCTAGACAATCTTCTTTCTTCCATATTCAACTTAGATTTGGCTTTTCTCTTTCAATTGCTCGATCCATGTCCCGTAATTGATCATGCATCATGTAACCATTTACTTTATCATTCCATTTGATAAGAGACATATTTTCAAGATTTTCAATCCTAATAGTTGAATTCCAAATTCGTGCTAGCCAATCCTTAGAGATCCTTAATCCCTTACTTTTATATAATTCGCATATGATATAAGCAAAATCTAAAAATATACTTTTTTCATCCATAGCTAGATTATCATAGCTAATTCTTAACCTTTTCCATAACATCTCATCATCATTATATCCGTCAAAAGGCTTTGCTTCTTCCAATCTTTTCAATGCCTCTTTCCATATCTCCTTTCGTTCATCAATATCTTTCAAATTATATTTCTTCAAGTATTGTCCAATTACTTCAAGACTCAAAGGCAATGCACCACATGCCTTGATAATAGCCTTTACTTGATCATTAAGTTGTTTGCACTTGTTGTCATTAGCTCCTTGGAAAGTATAAAATAAAAATAATCTTAAAGCTTCAACTTCATTCAATAGTTCCATCTTATAAATACCTTGAGTAAACTTTTCAAATTGATGTCTTATATGATTGTTTCTTTTCTCATAATTATATAGGTACTTACATAATGTTGTCTTTCCAATGCCTCCCATTCCAACCAATCCAACAATAGAGTGTGCTTCCATCATCTTCCATACTTCTTGTAATTTGTCTTCAACTTGTACTAATATACTTGGAAGTTTTAAAACATTGGCACAACTTTCAATAAAATCATTTGTAACTTCTTTAATGAGATTAGTCAAACAAAGGTAACTAATACAAGTCTTATTTCTTGGCTTGCATATCTCAAAGTGATCAGTTGGAGCAAGAATAAACTTATATCCATGTCGTGCAGAAGCTTCTTCAACAATCTTCTTTTAAAACTTTGTCTACAATAATAACAAAAAAAAAAGAAAATCCAACAAAAAAGTAAGACTAATTGTTAAAAGTTACTTCAAGCACAAATAATTTTTTTACAAAATTGGAAGCTAATGTTTTTTTTATTTCACAATGGTTAAGCATTACTTTAACCACAAATTCCAATACTTAGATGTAAAAGCACCAAAAGTGCTTTCACTATATACTTACATGTGGTATTGCAGTCTCATGTGCTTCTCCAATACAAAAATGATTCCATTTGTTGGGATAATTCTCTCTTTCAATGTATTCAAAAGATGCATTTAAACGACCAATATCATCATTAATAACCTCCAAAGATGCAACCACCTTTTCCATCTTTTCCATATTTGGAATATACTTCATATGATTAACTAGAAATGAGCCATCATGAGGTGTAGAGTAATATAAGAATCCTTTTATGCTTTCAAGAAAATTAACATACTTTGGATTCTTCCCAAGTTGGTTATGAGCAAATAAAACTATTTGTTTTGCCATCAAACCTCCAAGACAATGACAAACAAATATAATAGGATGTCTTTGTTGATCTATGTGAACATGTTCAACCATCTCTTGTACTAGAGTCTCTACTACTACATAGCCATCTATATTTCCTCTATCACTTTTCTTCCACGCTGAGGAATCATAAGAAAGGGACCATATCCAAGCCTTAGGAAAGTCTTCTGCTAACTATTTCATTGGCCAACATAATTCATTACAATCTTTTCCAGCCATCCAAGTTTTTCAATATGTATTTTTATAATCAAATATTTGTAATCCATGAATGAACACAATTTCAACTGTCATTGCAACTTCTTTAGAAGATTCACTAAATTTGTAGACTCCATCAATGATCTGCACAAACAAAACTTGAAAAAAAGCTTACATAATAGAAACTTGGTGTAACAACTATATTTACAATGGATCAATGTTGTTCATAGTTAATGTAGTATTTCAAGAATTACTTCAAGTATCTATCAAATATTTATTTGTAATTTCTTTTAACATTGAAGATTTGTACATTTGATATTATTGTACATGTTCAATGCCCTTTGGCTTTATTCCACCATCCAAAAGAAAAGACTTGGGTACTTCTGCACTCTCCTTTGACCAAACCATTGACATTGATGCCATCTTTTTAAAGACTTAGCATCAAAAAATTAAATCCGCGCTTGAGAATCTGAAGATATATTTCAAAGACATATTAATAAAGCATAATGTGAAGTTTAATGAATATTGTATCATTATTAATCATTCATTTTAAATTAATCATATAGTTATTCAATTAATTAATTTATTTACTTAAAAGATATATCTAACTATATAAATTATTTTTCCATTGCTATAGGTTACATAAATTGATTTTAGTCATTTTCAAGTTGACTTAGTTATTTTGATTTATCTTAATTAGTAATAATTCACATTATCATTATAATTAGGTGAATTTCCTACTTTTTCTAATGCTTTATATTTTACTAATTAGTCTTGGATATTAACATTACTAAATATTTTGGCTATTTATGTTGATTTCATATATGATGTCATTTTTTATTTTTTCTCTTTTCATTAATTAGAATCTTTGTATATTAAATATTTTTATTTTTTATTATTTTATCTTTATCTAAATTTATCTATGTATAATTTGTTTGTAAAATTTTTGCTTTTTAATGTCATGCACTTAATTGCCTACTTATTATTTTGTTTTGTTGTTTATTATTTTATTTATTCACAAGTGTTAATTTATTTATTTGTTATCTAATCTTTATTTGTGCGTAGTTTGTATTCAAAACATTCTTTTCATTTATATTCTTTCATATTATGCATTTAATTATCTATTTTATTTATTTAGTCATCTTATAACCTACATCACAATGAACTCATAAACTTGCAGAGATTCAGAATGGACTTCAAAAGCTAAACGCTCGAATCACTTGCCTTCTGAGAATTGATAAAATCACAGCAACACCTTCATGATGCTGATCCTCAAATTTTCGTTGAGCACAACCGGTTCTGAGTCTAATTCAAGCTCCGACTCGGTAGGCTCCGCCTGATTCAGCCAAATTCTAACTGGTCAGTTGCCCCAGTTGATTCGTTGTCTGAGCTCTCATTGCGCCACAGATCACACACACTGCAACCTGCACCTCCCTACGCTTGCACGATTCTGCCAACACCTCAATGAAAAAGAGCAACACCTTCCATGATGAAAGGTCGCCCAGACATGGCAGCACTCGCGTCAGTTCAGCTATGATAACTCTAAAATCATCTCAAGGCGACCACCATGTTGTGAATATAGTGTCAACAGTGAAGATGTGAGCGAAGACACTGCACGCTTTCGTCGTTCCACTTGACAACTGAACGGATCGCTTAGGCCTCCAGCAATGAGTACCAAGACGGCGAGAATAAGAGACTCCACAATCTTGATCCACCGATCTTCTGCGCACATCCCGTTACACTCGCGATGATTGCAGTCAAGGCAAGACTGAGATCTCCAATCGATATGTTCAAATTCACGAGTTAGAGATCCACTGCTCCTCTGTTAGCTGTCCCACCACGTTGCGTCTCTGCCCGAATACAAGGTGAAGCGATGCGAGTTGGGACGGTCCGGAGCGATAGGAGCTGAGCGCAGAGCGTGAGCAAAACGGTTTGCTATGTAGGGGAGACCAGGAAGTGAGGGTGACAGTGCAGCTCAGAAGACGAGGAAAAAACAAGCACCAGCAGCTCGGAGCAGAGTCAAAGACTAACAGGACCAGGAGAACAAGCAGCGGCAACTCGGAACAAGCTCCGCAACTTGAATAAGAACGACGACAACGAGGAATCCACGGTGACGCTGGATATCAGAATACACGGGTAAAAAGCAGAGAGCCGACGCGAGGATCAGCGAGAGAGCAAGAAGAACACGATCAGCAAGGGAGGAACACCACACGAAACATGGTCAGCACCTTGAAGCAGAACCGACGGCGAAGAGAATCAACCATCAGATCGGCATCGAGAGACAAAGAACCGACGAGCTCGACAACCACAAGATGCCCACGACGAAGCAACACCAACAACGAGGAGGAACAGCACAAGATCACCACTTCCGGAACCGAAGAGGTCACGCAAAAGCCAACACCCCGTCTCACCCTTACCGCGGCACCGCGTTGAAGAAACGCCAAGGGGTATCCTGAGAGAGCGCCGGAAAAGATTTCTGATTTGGACTGACGCCCATAAATAAACCGCGGCTAAGCGCAGAGAAGTGCATGCATGCTTATAAGTGCATATTACGGTTCAATAACTCAAATATCCCATTAACATCCCGAGTTACAATATACCAGGACAAACTTGTTTCTTACACAAAAAACTCAAAATCTGAATTCAAATTGTACAGAATGAAGATAGCAACAATATATGTTGTTATGTATGTAATAAGATCTGAAATTAAATCAAAGTAAACATCCAGCATGGATCGTAATTAGGATCCAGACTCAGACACTGTTTGGTTTACCGAAGCTGCAAGACTTCGTTGGCCTTCAGCACGCAGAGGGTCAGGGGAACCTAATTGGAGTATTCTAGTCTCCGCACTCTGCTTTATCAGCCCATTTCTGCTTCGTTTCTTCAATTACATCAAGGCTCTGTCGCCGTCTCATTCACATTTGAATATCGGCAACGACGTTGTTGCCATTTCACAATGTACACCTTGGAATAGAGGTTCAATTCTAATTTTTTCTTCAGCAATTTACGGAAACCCTAACCCTATTTTTCCTACCGCAATGGAACTCCACCTTGGGCTTCAACAAATGTGATTCAATTTCCACAATTCAATGAGTTCTGCATGTAATTGTGATTTCCTACTTGTCAACAGTGATTAACTAGATGCTCACTTTTCATCATACGTTCTATTACATCGTATTGAAACAGAATGAAGACAAATCACTGAATATATTTGTGACCGCCATAAAACCAGAATACTGAACAATGTGTGGTGAGAAGTTAAAGTAATGAAAGTTCTGTTAAGTGTAAAAAAACAGTTGACGAAATATTCAATGAAATGTTGGATTCGTGGAATATTCGTAAGGCGCTATTAATGATTCACGTGCAAAGTGTTGCAATAGAAAACAAAACAAATCAAATCAAAAAAATAAGACGACCCTGAAATGTTTGTTTATTTGCCATTTTTTTTTAACTTCACGACGATGCTGCAGTAGGTGATTAAGATTGTAAATAACTATTCCATGGTCGCACGGTGTATAAATACTGTGTAAAGTCATGCAGACATAGCGAAGTCTGTCAAGATTCTATGATTTATTTAAGGTTTTATTTTTACCGACAAAGTACTGTCAAAAAGTAAAAGCTTCCAGGAAGGAGCTGCTTTTTATGTCACATTACAATTTTTATGTAGCCAATTGCAATAAGGATGATTTATGTTTTCTAAATGTTGGAGTTTTAGAAAAAGCTTAGAAGCAATCTTACCAACATTTCACAGTACTGTCAGAAAAACTGATTTTAAACTAAATACCCTGTTACCAAAATATTACAACAGAAGAAAAGAAAAGAAAAGAAAATATATATATATATATATATATATATATATCAACCAAGGGTTTCAATACTATTCTACACATTTGCAACATTCATCATAGTTGATGAATTATAGTGCCTGCCCACTCACACATCTCGAGCTTGCCAAATTAGATTGGATCTGCACAAGATAGCATAAAATATCCATCTACATAATACCAACTCTTGTCATATTTTATCTTCTTCTTCTTTGAGAGAAAATCCTCTAATTCATAAAAACCAACCAATTTTTTACTTCAATTTTTTTTTTTTTAAGAGTTGAGATTATCATTCCGGCTTAACTTTAGTAAAAATAATAATAGAAAATTTTATAATGTTTATTTTATATGTTATTAATAAAATCCCTTATTGTAAAATTAAAATTATATAATTTTTTTCATATTATAGCCAAAAATCCATCTTAAATTTTATAATTTCAAAATAATCTTTAATTTTAAAATAATCTTCATAAGAATTTCTTTTTAAGGTCTTAGTAAAATTTCAAAATAGACATTTCATAAAATAAAGTTACAATCCTAACAAATAAATTAATCTATGAGTAGACAAACTATATTCTTCTTGTCAACATAGACATGATTTGAATAGATTACCTTGTCATTGCTTTCTATAATCTTTTGGTATTACATAAGATGCATTTATAAACTATCAAAGAAAGAAAAACCTTTAGTTATGGTATTGGTGTCAACTTAAAAGCTTAATAGTCAAGCAAACAAGCAAAGGTATAATCCATAGGATTACCACGATGAGTCAAGTCTACTTATAGGTGATGATGCAATGTCTCAATAGGAGCATTGTATTAAGCAGGGTGTAGAATTGATCACTGACATCCAAAGACTACTCATCTATATTCCTTATTTTGTAAAATGTGCATATCTTAGCACTTGATAAGGTGAGTTGTTTGTTGAGAAGCAATTTTTTAGAGTAGGTATTGTAATTAGTCCAAACTATATTGATGCCATAAACTCTAATATATTCAGCAATAATCATATACTCTTTATAAAATTATCTTTGTTGTTAAAAATATTTTGTAATAATATTAGTAGGGACTCTAAGACTAATGAACCAATTTGAGAAGAATATAGTATTATGGAAGGAAACCAAGAAGAAGAATGAGAATCCATTTGAGATTTTGAATGTTTGAATGTATGATGAACCTATAGTAGTGGTCTTTATAAGCCTAAGAGTGAGATCCATATGGACCATGACTGATAAATAAGCCAAATCATCACATAAAAAGTAATGTATTAAGATCTATTGTCATAGACATATATTTACTGTAATTGTTACCTAGGTGATATGAATAGGTAGAAGTAGGTAAAAATAGATTAATTTCATAATATCTTCTAGAAAAGCTTCCTAGAAGCTCCATAGATGATACTTTGACTTTACATGCATTTATACTTGATTGGTAGATTAGAAACTTGGTCAACAAATTAACCATGTGCCACACATGTTGATAGCTTACGGAACAAGCTAACTATGTTGCGTCCACATAGAAAACTTGCCTTGCAAGTTAAGATACGTGTTGTGTAAAATCAACACATTTTTGGAGGTCCTATAGAACGTCGCCACATAGCTCATAGGTAGATAGTATATATAGAGGCAAGAGTGAATCCTTCTTCATTCTTTTCAACTCCTTTCTTACTTATAGTCTAGTTTCAAGGGTCTCTAGTTTTCTTATCTTTTGGCAATAGCCATTCCAGTTTCTTTCTTAATATACATACTTAGTTATTTCTATTTTTTTTATTTTTCTTTGAAAAAAGTTTCACTTGTTTATTTATTTTTATCAAGCTCTTATCCTTGATAGATTGACAAGAGTACACTTACAATATCAGAGCTTTTTTTAATCTTATTTAAGAGTAGATTACCCCTTTCTCTTGATAAGACATAAACATATTAGAAGTTGTTGATTACTCTCTTCTAAACTGATACTGTTCTTAGTATTTTTTTTGTTCTCAAGTCTTCTCTTCTATTTGTCATGAGCAATATTAGAAATCTTCTTTTTTCTAACTGTTATTATGACAGAACTTACTGAAATGAAGAGTGCAATGGCACAAATGCAAGAGCAATTGAAGGAATTAATGCTTGCGATGCATCAAGTCAATTTACCACGACAAGGATCATCAAGATTGGGAGGAAGTGAAGATATAGAAATAATGGATAAACAAAGTGTATTTATCAAGTTTTGGAGCAATATTTAAGATGTACCATCAACTACCAATAAGATGATTGGACAACTCTTTTACCATTGGCAAATTTTACTTATAATAACATGGTACATTCTTCTACAAAACAAACACCTTTCTTTGCCAATTATGATTATCATCCATGACTTGATACTTTTGACTTTTCAAAAGCTGATAATCCTGCAGCAGAAGATTTGGCAAATTATTTGTCAGAACTACATGCAACAATGAAGGCGCAATTAAAAAAAAGTTTAAGAACAATAAAAGATCAATGCAGTTGTCTATCGAAAGGAACAACCACTATTCCATGCGGGTGACAAGGTATGGTTACTTTGTCGTAATATCAAGACCATTAGTCCTTGTGACAAGTTGGACTATCGTAGACTTAGACCATTTCCTATTTCTACACAAATCAATCCAGTTGCATATCGTTTACACCTACCGGAGTTAATGAAAATCTATCTAGTATTCCACATGTCTCTTCTTAAACCATACAAGACAGTGGACATACTAAGAAGAAGACAAGCTCCACCTCTTCCTATAGAAATGGACAATAATGAAGAATTCAAAGCGGAAGAAGTTTTAAATTCAAGGCGGTGCCAAAATAAATTGGAATATTTTGTCCATTGGCACGGATATGATATTAGTGAATATACATGAGAGCCAGCAAAAAATCTTATAAATACAACAAAGGCGGTGGAGGCTTTGTATTGACAACATCCATCAAAATCAAGATGAAAACCTTCTTTATAAATGAAACAAGACCTAGGCAAGATAACATTCTACTTTCAATCCTTGTTTGTAGCTTCTTTGTACTTGTGATGCTAAGGAGATGGAGAACCAACAACTAGTGGGTTCGACTAAAGATCCTTTGTTTGGTGACCTGTTAGATAAGACATTACGATTGTCACAACCTTCAAGAAGATATAATTGAGATGAAGATTCTCAAGAACGACATGTTCTTCCTCGAATAGATGGAGAGATACAACACATTTGGTATCATGACCTTGGAAGAGACTCCCAATGTTTGGTGTTTTTACTAGACGTAGAAACAACTCTTGACAGTGTTCCAAATGCTTAATTTGAAGAAAGTTATGAAGGCCTTAACAACGATCAAATAACTGGGTGATCTTCTTGCCTTGGTATGGGACACTATCGATGGTTGAGAGGCCCTATCAATCATCTTAGAAGAGAACAAAGATCAAAGTATGTGGCAAATATAATTCGCCACATCTTAGACTTCTTCAACATGTGATTACTGCTCCTCGTGGAACTCGTCTCCTACAAGGGGGACTAATGTCTTGGACATATGCATGTAAGCCAACAATAACATGTATAAATAGGTAGAAGTAAGTAAAAATAGGTAAAAGTAAGTTACTTCTATAATATCTTTTAGAAAAGCTTCCTAGAAGCTTCATAGATGCTACTTTGACTTTACATGTATTTATACTTGATTGGTAGGTTAGAAACTTGGTCAAATTAACCATG